CACAGCCATATGTTAAAACTAGATGTATGTACCAAGCAAGAATGCTTTTTTTAACTCTCAATGACAAAGATATATTGCACAAGATGTTCTGCATTTTATCAAATGCAGTTTTTGCCTGTCCTGTTTCTTATCTCAATTATGCATCTTCCATCTGATGTTATCCATGTGCCCAGATACTTACATTTCTGTACAAAACGTATACATCCCGCACATAAACGTTTAGCACAGTAGGTAAGATTCCAACAAACGAAAACTGAAAGGTCGGACAAAGGTTCACTCGTGCGACCAGATTTCACCCGCGTTACAAGCTTAATTCACATTTATGTCAGGGATCTTTACTAGACCCGCTTGATGCTAGCTTCACGTACAAATTATTTGGTCGGGGGGGGGGGGGGATTCTTGTGACTGAGGTTACCATTGCGTAATGCCACACTCTGGCTTATAAGTAATCACCAAAAATATATATATTCCAGGAAACACAGAATCGACACACCCGGGAAGTTAACCCAATAAAAAAAAAGCACAAATATCGCAGCTTTGCTGTAAACAGGCATAACACAAATTCGTCATTCAGACGGACGAAAAGACGAAGAATCGACACAGTGTGCTCTTAGCGCTCCGGGAGCCACGGTGGTGCCGTTGCCTGATAGTCCAACGGTCTGAGTTTAAATCCACACGGAGATAGACTTTGTATAATTGACTTTGACTACCAAGTCGGCCCAGTCTAAAACACGTTTCAGGTAGTTTCCTTGGAAGTAAAGGCAACTGTTTCATACAAATATATACGTTGCTCCATTGTCATAGAAAGCGGATCTTCAGTGCACTAGCCGCCTGATTAACTGATTGACACCTTTCGGGCGATAATGTTATACTGTACTCTGGGGAGGCACGGGAAACATCTCACATGGCGGTGGCACGTTACACAGCACCAAGCCTAGGCAGATTTTTAGAGACCATGTGTTTGCCATGAATCGTGATATACATCTCTCTCTCTCTCTCTCTCTCTCTCTCTCTCTCTCTCTCTCTCTCTCTCTCTCTCTCTCTCTCTCTCTCTCTCTGGTTTGTTTATTTTAAAGGATAGGGTACGTTTTGAAATACGTTGCAGAAGCTGCCGGATCAGCATCTGTCACGAAAATGGCTTAAAACTGGACAGGGTACCTGGCCAGTGAATGGGCCAGTTGTTGTACATAGTCACGATGTATCTACCTTTGTAAACATCTTCACCAAATAAAATTGACATATTTATAATCTGCCGACTTGGTGTTTTAATTCTTTTATTTTCACCGGGGGCGGGGGGGGGGCTGTAGAAGGAAGACAGCGTGAGAAATTCTTGTGAGACAGCGTTTTGTCATGGCATTGAGGGGTGCCAGCATAAAAACTACTGAATGCCGTAGGATATCACAGGTTATGGACAGACATTATCGGCACTGCTGATCTGCAAGGCGCTTTCTTCTTCGATACGTCTGTCAGAAAACATATCAGGAGGCCGGTTGCCTTTATGAAAACTGCAGTCCAGACCTTCATGTGTATCATACAGCTTTGTCTTCATTGAGGTTTCTTCTTCTCTTTTCTTCTTCCCCAGTCGACTGACTGGGGGCTTCCTTTGAAGTCAGAGTACATTTGCCTGAGAGGCAAGGAACCAACAAGCTGCATAAAAATAAGTAAGATCTGTAAAACAGATGTGCACACAACTCAGATTCTAGAACAGAAGACTTAAATCCAGAACTTTCCGCTGGAGTTTACAGCCGGTGAACATAAAGAAGACATGCCTCTATAAAGTACGTGGTGCCAAGCATCTCTTCTATTGTTCTATCCAGCTTGGTTTCCACTAAAATGCCAACTGGCCCATCTGGGATTCTCTCTACCGCATGTATAGACCACGGCTGTAGCACACGTTCAGTATTTTCCGGTCACTGGCAATACAGGAAGGACCTGCGTGGTGCTGTAGTTTTCAGATTCGGCTACGACACCTTTCAGGTCCATTCTGGTCAGACAATAAACCGTGGAGTTTGAGCACATCATTCTGCTTGGTATGAGGTGGTGACGTGACATCTCAGGCTATCAGGGACTCAATCAATCGTAACATGCAAATGTCATGATAAGTAGACATGATAAAAATATATTACACAACCTTGTTATCGTTCAATGTATTTTCCAAGAAACACAAAATACAAGTGTAACAATAAACCAAATACAAGAAACATGTTATATAATACATGATCATTCATGAATGAGAAGCAGTGACATCACACACATTCACAACATGATTCAAATCTGGGTTTTCATTCACACTATCAAACATTTACCGACAGTGTTTTCTTTCTACCCTTGGGGTAGAGAGCAACATAATATCCTTGTTTAGTCTTTCCACTTCTATCCCTTGGGGTAGAGAGCAACATAATATCCTTGTTTAGTCTTTCCACTTCTATCCCTTGGGGTAGAGAGCAACATAATATCCTTGTTTAGTCTTTCCTCTTTTATCCCTTGGGGTACGGAGAAACATTATATACTTGTTTAGTCTTTCCTCTTTTATACCTTAGGGTACAGAGAAACATTATATCCTTGTTTAGTCTTTCCTCTTCTATCCCTTGGGGTACGGAGAAACATTATATCCTTGTTTAGTCTTTCCTCTTCTATCCCTTGGGGTACAAGAAACATTATATCCTTGTTTAGTCTTTCCTCTTTTATCCCTTGGGGTACAAGAAACATTATATCCTTGTTTAGTCTTTCCTCTTCTATTACTTGAGGTACAGAGAAACATTATCTGTTTCACAGATCTCATTTGTGTGCAGACTGTTGGTTCCTTGCCTCTTAGGCAGCTGCACTCCGACTTCGAAAGAAGCTCCCAATTAGTCGACTTTTACCACATGCTTTTGGGTAGGCAGTGGCTCTATTCTTGTTTTCAATATAATAGGGCCATAGAACCCACACGGGGAATATAAAGTTTGATTAACTATTGTTAATATTCCAATTGCAGTTAAAAATGTGAGACCTTCATGCAAAGTAATATATTTAAATTTACAACTGTTCAAACATACCCACCTTAATGATGGAATTGAGTCATTCATACTGTAACTGAATCAAGCACGGACTCTTGATTGAATCTGCTTGCTGGCACCCTCGACAGCTGTACCTGTTCAATTCCATACACTGATTCCCCACACGCCCAATGTACAGCTGTTCAGATTCATACACATACAGTACACAGCTGTTCACATTCACATATTGATTCGCACATGGCCGGTGAACAGCTGTTCACATTCACATATTGATTCACACATGGCCGGTGAACAGTTGTTCACATTCACACATTTTTTTTCTCAGATGTCGAGTGCACAACTGTTCACAATCACAAATAAATTCACACGTTCAATGTTCGACTAGCGATTCTGACACATATCTGGTGTACAAATGTTCACACTCATACAATGCTACTCACATACGAACATCCCTCACCATTCAATTCTTTCATTGAAAATAAAAACAGTACACCTGTTTTTCTTTAAAAAAATAAAAGTACAAAAGAAATGCTGAATCTATCCTCGCCAGACACAAGCAAATATGTCCACTTGTGCCTGTTTGTAATTTACAATATCAACATTCCAAGTTGGCAGGTGGTTTATTAAATGTATATGACAATACATTTTTATTGTTAGTGACAACAAACTGCACAGAAACAACATGGATCTCGCCACGAAAACTAGACACTATTGCTGTCCAAAAAATGGCCAATAGCTCTCCTGCTACTTGAGAACCAGCAAAGAGGAGCTGCGGTGAAAACACCATGCAGGTCCCACACTGAAAACAGCTCCGAGCACCTGTCCTAAATGGAAACAGCATGCAGTTTCTGCCGCACATGATCTAGAATTGAAACAGATGGCACAGAAAGTTCTGTCAATGAGGAGACTTTCATATTACAAATGTTCAGAAGGGGGCTGAGTGGTTTCGAGGTATGGTGTCTGCCTCGAGTGCTGGGGGTCCTGGATTCAAACCCTGATGAAGGCTGGGATTTTTTCACTTGGACTTCTAGTAATTTTCCTTGGTCTCTGGGTAGTAAGATCAGATGCCTGTGTGTATTCTTGCGCACATAAAAAATACCCTGGAAACGGAAACGAGTAGCCTAACGAATCTGCCCGGACAAAATTTTGAGTTAAAAATCTATCAAAAGTATTTCCGGATCCTCTCAGGTGCAGCGGAGTTTGCACACTGCGCTGAGATTCTTCAGACTCAGGTTTGAGTTAGAAGTAGAACAGAGCACTTATGGGTTACCCCCGAGTGCCATGATGTTGTTCCGTTGAATAAACATAAACATAAATGTTTAGAAACTGCAGTCAGGTCCGATCATTAGAAAACTGTATAAAACATTAGAGAATTAATACATAAGACGGTTTGTGTTTTTCACACATGTTATGAGAAAGAATGCACTTGAGATCTTGGTGACAACTAGGTAGACTGATGCAAAAAATAACAAGAGAAAGGCAAAAAATAACAGCCCATGGCTATTCAAACAAAGTTTACTCAAAATATTGAAAATCGGGATCATCTTGGACGAGAGGCCCTTGCTCCAGCACAGAAACATGGTTAATGCAACAGGCAAATATCCACGTGCCACTTGCTAGGCCTCTGCTGGCCGGATTTAGCCCCATCGGGCCGCCAGTTGAATAGCCATAGCTTAGCTGTGTGAATGAGGGTGAGACAAGAACACTGACCTGATCTGTGATTCTGGTAATCATGATGGTGAAACATAGCCACCTATGCCTATCGACATAGCACATGATGATGATGATGATGACACATGCCCTATCAGGGATAAAAAAGGCATTCAGGTCACGACATGAAGCAATCTTGAAATGGAAGGAAGAAACAGCCGATGACTTTGATAGATCTCCTTTGGTATATATAAGAGTGGGGTGGGCTGTCCTACAGAAAGATCTTGGTCTAATATCGCTTGACGAGCCCCGTCCATCAACAGTGTCACAAACCAGTTGTAGAATACTTTCTCAGTAACCGCCTCTGTTATCTCCCCGACTCCAAGCCCCTCTATCTCCACGGCCACTCCTTGAGCCTCTATCCCCACCTCTACCCCCTCTGTCTCCCCTTGCCCCTCGATCACCACCACCCCTTGCCCCTCGATCACCACCACCCCTTGCCCCTCGATCGCCACCACCACCCCTTGCCCCTCGATCACCACCGCCACTCCTTGCCCCTCTCTCTCCACCAACCCCCCTTGCACCTCTATCTCCCCGAGCCCCCCTCTCTCCACCAACCCCCCTCTCATCACCAGCCCCTCTAGACCATCCACTACCCTTAAACCCTCCAGACCTGCCTCTATTGCCCCTGAAACCTCCCCTAGAATGTCCACGGCCTTCCCCTTGCCCCCAGTTACTCCGTCCTCCCCTTAGTCCAGGCCCTTCATCCCACACCCTCTTCATTCCTCGATCCCCTCTGTCCTCCTGTCCTTCATACATTTCCCCATACTCATTACTGTAACCTCCACTGTCCCAGTTTTCATCAGCATACTTCTGCCTTCCATAATCTGTCCATCCCTCCTCTCTGGAATTGAGGTCCCCTCCACCCCGACTGTTTATTCTTCTATCAACATCGTGCTCTGCAAAGCGCTCGTCCACATCCCCATATTCACCGTAATTCTCCTCTTCATCATAATTCCCGCCACCCATGTGACTTCCTTGGAAATCATCGCCCTGACCTCGATGGTCCCTGCCCGATACTTGGAAGTCTTGATCGCTCTGATTTCTAAGGTCCCCGAGGTTTGGGAGCCTGCCTCCCATGTTCTGACCTGGGCCAGGCCCTTGTTGGCGGAAATCTTGATCCTCGTAATTAGACGGTCCTGCAGGGCCGTTGAAAACCTGAGATCTGTAATCATGATCCAATCCAACATCTGCCGGACCTCCAACTTGACCCTCTCCTGAAAACATAAACAAATACATAATTTTAAACAAAAAGCTCTCAGTACTGTCTCTATTTACCAGTTTACAGAGCTGTGCACAACAGGAGAGCCGTGTGCCTGAGAAACTTAGGGCCACATGGCTAGTACAGTCACAACACACTGTGCGGGTTAGAGTTTTATTCTTGCCTCCAATAGAAACAAAATTAATCAACTTGCTGAGGATTCAAACCTGGGACTGTTGAATGAGAGGCCACAGTTCTTAACTGCTGAGCCAGCCATTCCTCAATCACCTAATATATCTTCAGAAAAACATCCATTATATCATTAAGTGCATGAAATAATTCTACACAATAAATAACTTCTTTTTCAGCCTTTCTATCTCTCAATGGAGCATAGGCCTGCAACCAACTCACGCCAAGTCATTCTATCCTTCGCCATTACATGAAGCTCTCCCCATATCCTCCCCATCTTTCTAACTTCATTCTCCAGCTCTCTTCTCCATGTGTTTTTCGGCCTTCCTTTATGCCTATGCCCCTGTGGGTTCCAATGCAAAGACATTCTAGTTAGGCTTTCTCCTGTTTTCTCAGTGTGTGTCCTACCCAACGCCAGCGTCTTGGTTGTTCACACAATAAGTAACTGCCAAGCTTTATTTCTCTACTTTACCTTCTGTGTGCTACTTACTTAGTGTTCTGCCACATTCTTGTGTCAGTTTCCCAGCTCCGTTATATTTTCTTCTCTCCCATACTATATTTTTTATTCAATGCCCCACCCCACAAATCATATTTTAGTGCTACATTCCAAATTTTAAGTCTTTTACTTCGTAACAATCTTTAAAAAAAAAAAACTATCCATCTTTGGAATGTTATTTTTAAAAAAAAAAATGCATTCTTATAATTCTTTGAAACTCTATCCTAGGGAACAAGGAGAGAAGACGCAGCAGAAGAAATCTGCAGCTTTTACAAATTTTTAGGGCGTCGAACCCCTAGACCACCGAAAATACAAGCAGGCGTGAAGTCCTCTGCTTCTATTTTTTTTTTCAAATGTTTAATGTTCCCATCACAAATCGAGCAAAGAATTAACTGACCTCCTTTCCTTTCACCACTTAAAAGTGGTTTTGGCCACTCTATCACAGAGTGCAGTGTGATCTAATAATGAGATTATATGTCACGATTAATGCATAATGTTTAAAATATACTTTTTTCACCCTAAATAATATCTGTTCTTTAAATTGGGAAGTAAAGATAACCATACACATTATGTCTGCACACTATGCAGTTGCTGATAGTATAAAATCTGCCACACATGTGTACTGGGCATTGTACAAAGACATCATGCAAACCAAAACTTATAAAAGTCTGAATAATGGCTTCCTTGGGGTGAGAGGAAATATGCTTCACCTTACATCCAATGTGGTAGAGAAGCGAAAGGACTCTTCTCCAGGCATACTGGGCATATAAGTCTTGACCTGTATTTTATAGACCAATCAACACTTGATGGGTGATGTGGTCGCCTTAACTTCCCAAGGTGTTAGAGTAGTACCACAGACTTTGATGCACCACCCAAAATTTCCTTGTGTTAGAACAGCACCACATCTTAGTAAAGAGATATACTAAATTCTGAAGAGGCCAGAAACAAGTAGAATGGTTATGGAAGAGAGAGCAGCTATTGAAATGTGACAAGAAACGAACGAAGAAAGTTTATTTTCAAAGGGTGAAGAGCTTGGTATTCAGACACACCTAACATTCTGCCTTTCTAATCTCCATCATTTCATACGTCATTTTCCCCATATGAATTCTGGGGCCCTATTATGGGGAAAACAAGAATAAATAGACCCACTGCCTCCCCAACAAGCATATTGTAAGTGCATCTGTTCAAGTGGCAAGGAACCAATAATGTGCATACAAATAAGTCAGATCTGTTTTTTAAAAAAAGATGTGAATGCAACACTCAGATTCTGGAACAAGACAGAAGTCCAGAGGTGGACAAACACCCAGAACTTTCCACCAGAGTTTACAGCCAGTGAACGTGAAGAAGAATAAGAAAATACATCATTTCTTTCATACATCCGTTAACAAATAATACTAGCGAAAGTCACAAATGGTTATGGGACGGCAGGAAAATGTAGTTGCTGGTTTCTAAAGGTTTCATTAGGTGACAGCAACAATGAACTTTATGTCTCCATTCGTTAGGTAACGATAGGTGTTGCATGTGAGTTTGCAACACAGAAATAAATGGCCACTGTTCTTATTGAGTTTACCCTAAAAGAACAACGTACTGTTATGCGTTTTGTGTGTGTGGGCAAAAGAGACACATTTGTGCAACGGGTAGAGGATATGATTAGAGGTGACAGGCGAGTAATGGTTGACTCTGTAGCAGCTGCAATAGGGTGCTCACGTCGTTCAGCATACAGCATCGAAATTTAAGAAAGTGTGCTCAAGGTGGGTACCCAGACAATTGACAGAAAAACACAAAATGAACCAATTAGGCCTGCCATTGCAGCATTTCTGTCGATACGCAGATGAAGGAGAAGACATGCTGAACAGGATTATTACTGGGGGATGGATTTTAGGTGCATCACTACCAGCCCGAATCAAAGTGTGCTTCGATGCAATGGAAACATCCTACTTCGCCTTGTGTTAAAAAATTCAAGGCTACGCCATCAGCAGGGGAGGGTTATGCTGACAGTGTTCTGGGACTGTCAAGGAGAGCTTTAAACCAATTTAAAAAAAAAAAAGGTAATAAGGTGAATGCTGATTCATACTGTAAAGTTCTATTGATGCTTCTTGATGCAATAAAGAAAACGTCCAGTTCTGATGACTAGAGGAGTACTGCTCCTTCATAACAATGCCAGAGCACATATGGCTCGGTTAACTCAGGAAAATACTTACCATCTAGGGTGGGAACTTCTTAAACCTTACAGCCCCGCTTAGCCCCTAGGGATTTCCACCTTTTTTAGTCCACTAAAAACCTACCTTGGCAGGAGGTAGACATTTCCTGAATGACGCAGAAATAGAATGTGAAGTGAAAATGTGGTTTGGAAAACAGAGCATGCAGTTTTATGCAGCAGGTTTGGGAGGACTGATAAAACAATGGGATAAGTGCATCAATGTTGGTGGAAATAACGTTGAAAAGTAAAGGGACAGTGTATGTGTAAAATTAAACAGTTTCCAACTTGTTATTGTCTTTAGTTTTAACAACCATTGGTGACTGACTTATTGACTTCTCCTCGCAGTAAACATTATCTACAGCAACTAAATATTAAATATAAACACTGGAATGTGCTTGAATTACACCTACATTTCTAACCACAGTGAACCATAGCAATTGTAATAAATTCTAAAAACTGTGATCTTTCAAGGAAGCCATGTAAACTGTGCTCAGGTAATATTTCAATTTGAGCAGTTTCTAACTCTATGTATATGAATTAGTGCTTTTTTAAAATTTGATTTGGAAGATAGTTTCACAGTTGAGCTGTGGAATACACTAAACTTGTTTTGTATAGGTTTATCTTAAGTTTAAGAATAAGTCATATGTTTAGGTGTCTGCTGTATAAAGGAAGAGAAATATGACATCCTGACTGGTTATGAGAGAGAAACTGGCTAAAAAAAGAAAGACAAAGATATGTAGACTGGTTGAGGAAATGAATGAGTGATTGATACAAACAGATTCAGAGAACACTTACTCTGCCCCTGGAATCTTTCATCTCTGTCAAGGTCCGGAGGTCCTGAAGAAAGAAAACAGTAATGTACTTCATCAATCAACAGGTCTTCACAGAAAATCGCTCTCGTCACGGAACAACCAAAACTCTCTCTTTGTCTTGCCAATTCTCCAGCCCTGTGCATCTTGATAGCCAATGCATCTTCAATCTTGTATGCACGTTCGCGAAGGTCTGCCTCTGCCCTGTTTTCCAGAAACCATACCCTCCAGGTCATTATGATGTTCAAAATGGCGAAAATATCTTATCTTTTGAGAAAGGATGCTGTCTATGAGCCAATTCGCTTCGATACTCAGATTATTACATTACATTTCCCATATGAGACTATACAATTTCAAACCTTGAACTGTAACTGTTGTTTCTGTATAGTGCAGTAGTTGTGATATTGGTAGTGGTTGTGATAATGATGATGATGATGTCGGCATGGCAGTCACGATGATGATGATGATGTCAGCATGGCGGCCACGATGATGATGATGATGATGATGATGCCGGCATGGCGGTCACGATAATGATGATGATGTCGGCATGGCAGTCACGATGATGGTGGTGTTTCTGGCAGGTCATGATGATGATGATGTCGGCATGGCGGTCACGATAATGATGATGATGTCGGCATGGCAGTCACGATGATGGTGGTGGTTCTGGCAGGTCACGATGATGGTGGTGGTTCTGGCAGGTCATGATGATGGTGGTGATGTTTTTTTTTTTTTTTTTTTTTTTTTTTTTTTTTTTTTTTTTTCTTTTTTTTTTTTTTTTTTTTTTTGTTTTGTGGTCATAATGATTTTCATGATCATAATAATTACTTCTTCTTCTTTTTCTCTTCCTTTACTTATCTCATCGAGGTGATGAGGGACTGTGTAAGGATTTTCTGTGTGTTCTTTCTAATGTGTTACACAAGTTGGTCTTCATTTTTTAAGGATATTCTGTAATGCCCCTGCTGCATCTGTCACATGGTCTTCCACTTGCTCTGTGTTCACTGCATTTCTTCAGCATGTTTCTCTTTGCCAGGTGTAACTTTCATCCTAATTTCTCTATATTTATATAATAATGACGAACATGTTTTTTTTTAAGCATCAGTTTCTTCTTCTTCTTTTTTTTCACTGGCTGGATACAGCTGCAGAAACTTGTGGGTGTTCGTCCACATCCAGAACCTAAGTGCTGCGTGCACGTCAGTTTCTTAGATATGACTTATTTGTATGCATATTCATGGTTTCTTGATTCTCAGGCAAGATGTACTCCAGACTTCTACGCCAAGCTTGTTGGGGAGGCAGTGGGTCTATTCTTGTATTTCTCATTATGGGGTCTCTGTAATCCACATGGGAATCAGAGTTTGATATAGTGGATCAAGTTTCTGGCACACCCTTTTTGTGTGTGTGTGTGTTAAACAAGTTCAAGAACAATTTTTGTTTCAACTGACAAGGACAACCTGGCAGCAGGCACACTTAAATTACTTCAAGGAACAAGCAGCAAAACAGAAAATAAGTGACCAACGGAGTAAAATAATGACATCAAACCTACCTCCTCTATTTCCATGTCTCTGCAGTAAAGGCCCAGAACCAAACGGTCCCTGTGCTCCATTGGGAGCCTGAAACTGTTGCCCTGGTATATGAGGTTTTAGATTCCCTGGCTGCTGACCTTGCAGCTGTGGACCACCACCTTGCAATCCTTGTAGCTTCATCTGCCCCTGGCTGTCTCCCATCTGCCCTGGATGCCTCATCTGCCCCTGGTTGTCTCCCATCTGTCCTGGATGCCTCATCTGCCCCTGGTTGTCTCCCATCTGCCCCTGAGGTCTCAGTGGACCTTTGTAGTCTCCCATCTGCCCTCCAGGATGCCTACTGTGACCCTGCGAGTCTGGAATCTGCCCTGGAGGTCTCATGTCCGGGGCATTTCCCTTCTGCCCCCCTGAAGGTCTCATAGGACCTTTGGGGTCTCCCATCTGCCCAGGGGGCCTCATCTGCCCTGGAGAGTCTAGATTCTGTCCCTGAGGTCTGTTCATACCCTGCGGAGTCATGGGTCGAACTTGCTGCCCTGGCCCTTGATTCTGGCCTTGCATCTGACCCATACCAGGCGGCTGATTCTGATTGTTAGTACCTTGAGATGCCTGACCTCCTTGCTGAGGTGGGCCCATGTTATTTCCTGGCCTATTCTGCGGGCCACCAGAGTTTGCCTGATTGTTCATGTTTGCAGCCATATTTCCTGCAATACCCTGTTGCTGCTGAGAGTTTGAGTTGTTTTGATGCTGCTGCAAAAGAAGCTGTCCCAGAGACTGGGCAGTGATGGCCTGGACGCCTGGAAACAACACCATCTGACCTGGGTGAGGTCCCACAACCGGCTGACCAGGGGCGATAATCATCCGTGGTGCTCCAGGTCCCATCATTAACTGACTCCTTGGCAGCATCATGCGAGCTGCTTCATTGGCTGCTAACTGCTGCCTCAATGTTCCTGCGATGGCTGCTCCGATGAACTGCTGCGCCAGCAGCAGACTAGACTGAGGAGGCATAAACTGAGCTTTCTGCTGCTGCTGCTGCTGCTCCTTTTTCAACTGGTCAACATCGATCTCTCCAGTCCAAGCTTGTTCAAATACCTTCGGCACTGGCCGAGCATACGGTATTTTCTTCTGAGCAGCTCTCTCCTCCACTTTCAAAAGTGCAGCATCTTCTTCCCAGTTCAAACCTGGTATTGCTGGGAGCTCATTCTCCTCCTGCTCCTCTGAGGACACCAAACATAAATCCATTATTGAATAAACTTTATGCCTGATAAATTTATCATATAAACTCTTCTTCTTATCTGTGTTTACCAGCTGTAAAATCTGGGGAAAGGTTCTGGTTGTTCATCCACTTCTAGAGATTCTGACTTTTCTGTGCACATTTATTTTACGGATCTGGCTTATTTGTATGCAGACTGTTGGTTTCTTGCCTCTCAGGCAGATGCACTCCAACTTTGCAGGAAGCTCCCCTAATTAGTGGACTTTTATGACATGCTTGTTAGGGGGCAGTGAGTCTATTCTTGTTTGTCCCCACAACTGGGTCCCGGAACCCACATATTATTTCATCTGCACTGATTCACATATCTATAATTTTCCTTCACCTTCAATCACTTACACATTTATCACACTTATTCATCTTCAATAATTGATATATTTTTTCACATTTATTAATCTCCAATCATTGACACATTTATCACTCTTATTCATCTTCAATCATTGACACATTTATCACACTTATTCATCTTCAATCATTGACATATTTTTCCAATTTATTCATCTTTAATCATCGACACATTTATCACACTTATTCATCTTCAATCATTGACATATTTACTACATTTATTCATCTTCAATCATTGACATATTTACTACACTTATTCATCTTCAATCATTGACATGTTTACTACATTTATTCATCTTCAATCATTGACATATTTACTACATTTATTCATCTTCAATCATTGACATATTTACTACACTTATTCATCTTCAATCATTGACATATTTACTACATTTATTCATCTTCAATCATTGACATATTTACTACACTTATTCATCTTCAATCATTGACATATTTACTACATTTATTCATCTTCAATCATTGACATATTTACTACATTTATTCATCTTCAATCATTAACATATTTACTACACTTATTCATCTTCAATCATTGAAATATTTACTACATTTATTCATCTTCAATCATTGCCCTTTTTATCACATTCATTCATCTTCCCGTAAAGAGAAAGATCATTAATACAATACAATTGGCTGTGATGCGCGGACCACTTCAGAGGCCTTCGCAGGCCACAGGTTGGATAGTCTTGCTCTACACCAATCAAGCATTAAGGCTGATAAGCAGTTACCCTGCTCTTTGATCTGTTGTACTGTGCTCTGTCAGCGCTGTTGTACTGGGCTGTGTCAGCAATGTTGTGCTGTGCTGTGTCAGTGCTGTTGTACTGTGCTATGTCAGTCAGCACTGTTGTACTGAACAGTGTCAGCAATGTTGTACTGTGCTGTGTCAGTGCTGTTGTACTGGGCTGTGTCAGCAATGTTGTAATGGGCTGTGTCAGTGCTGTTGTACTGGGCTGTGTCAGCAATGTTGTAATGGGCTGTGTCAGTGCTGTTGTACTGGGCTGTGTCAGTGCTGTTGTACTGTGCTGTGCCAGTGCTGTTGTACTATGCTGTGTCAGTCAACACTGTTGTACTGGGCTGTGTCAGCAATGTTGTACTGGGCTGTGTCAGCAATGTTGTACTGTGCTGTGTCAGTGCTGTAGTACTGGGCTGTGTCAGCAATGTTGTACTAGGCTGTGTCAGTGCTGTTGTACTGTGCTGTGTCAGTCAGCACTGTTGTACTGGGCTGTGTCAGCACTGTTGTACTGGGCTGTGTCAGCAATGTTGTACTGGGCTGTGTCAGCAATGTTATACTGGGCTGTCAGCAATGTTGTACTGGGCTGTGTCAGCAATGTTGTACTGGGCTGTGTCAGCAATGTTGTACTGGGCTGTGTCAGTGCTGTTGTACTGGGCTGTGTCAGTGCTGTTGTACTGGGCTGTGTCAACGCTGTTGTACTGTTGCCGTGGTCAACAAATTCAGAGGTGAGGAGAATATGCAGGCAGTGGTTAGGACACATAGAGAAAATATCAGATGATAGTATAACTGGAAAGTCCTCTCACTGGAATTCACAGGGTAAAAGAGGTCAACAAATTCATAGGTGAGGAAAATATACTGGCAGTGGTTAGAACAGAGAAAATATCAGATGATTATATAACTGGAAAGTCCTCTCACTGGAACTCACAGGGTAAAAGAGATCAGTGACCTGAAACTGCAGGTAGAAACAAATTATACAGAGAGATGATTAAAACAGGAAAACAAGGAAAGAGGTGTGGGAAACAGTCAACAACAGACTGGCCTGGCATGAGTCAACGCCTATAATATTCCAATGAAGGTCAACAGCGAAAAAAGGAAAATGATACTGTTACTGGCAAGGACAGGGAAGCTGCCGTGGTGTAGCGGCTAGATGCTGACCTGCAGATCTGAAAGGCAGTTCACATCTGAATGGAGCCGGGCACTTGTTTCAAAAATGACCTTAGCTCCTAGGTCAACCAACCTTAAATGTGTACCAGGTGAAGTCCTGGAAAGTTAAAAACAGCCGGCAGGATGTTGATCAGATAACCCACCGGGAGCCGACTGATCTTTCAAATATAGGTCTAGCCCTATATGCCCATGTCTAAAGGTGTGGAAAAGGGACCTTTTACTGGCCAGGTTCTGATGATTTCTTCATAAAAAGTGGTCAGATCTTTTTGTACAGAACTACCAACTATCGGGAGTCGCCGTGGCCGAGCGGCTAGACGCTCGCCGGGCACCGGAAGGTCGTGGGTTCACTCCCTGGCGGAGCCGGACTTTTTTCAGAAATGACCTTAGCTCCCAGGTCGACCCAACCTTGAGTGGGTACCGGGTGCAGTCCCGGGAAAGTGAAAGCGGCCACATCACCCATTTTGTGCCAATTGGTCTATACAAATATAGGTCTAGCCCTATATGCCCTATACGCCTTGAGGTGTGAAAAAGGGTCCTCTACTTTTTTTTTTACCAACTATCATAGCACACTGTGCTCTTCTCTTCGAGGTTCAGAGTTTTGCTGACTGATGTCTGTACTATTGTCCATAAAGAGAAGCATATTCCAGACAGAGCACCCATCCTGGAACCACAAGAAAGCAGCATTTTCCCCTTTATTGTCCCATAAGGTCCTTTGGCCAGATATGACTGATGGAAATTTGTTTGGGATCTTGTATGTGTTAATGTCCCACAATAAAAGATTCCCAACAGCCTAAATACAAACTTACCTTTCATTTGTGCGCCCTCTTCGACTCCTTGCTCCATTCCAATGCCTGGCAAGTTGGGTACAGCTGTCTCCATATCTGCAATAGAATCACATACAGTTGGAATGAAAAAAGGTCAGTCAGGGTTTTTTCTTCTTCGTCGTGCTAGTGCGTATGCCTTAAAGCGCCGCAGAGAGAAAATAGATGTAACCGGCTGTCTTTTGTTAGTTGCATAGCTTGTCTTAATGTCATATTACATTTATGTAATGTCTTTTTTACTCGCTCCAGCCATCTCTTTCTTGGTTGGCCTCTTTCCTTGTAGTGTGTGGCAATCAGGGTTTATCCCCTATAAACTGTCAAACAGATCAAATATGTGAAATAAGTCATCCATTTCACTGCCTCTCTTCTTCTTATATCTGAGCTGTAGATGCAAGACTGTTATTGTTCTCTTTCTTTCATATGTTATGACTAATAAGAAAGATCTTGATTATACCATGAAAAACAATACTAGCAATATAATAAAGATACAGCACTCTAGAGTAAGGACAGAGCCCTATGAAAGACAATACTAGCAACATAATAAAGATACAGTACTCTAGAGTAAGGACAGATCCCTATGAAAGACAATACCAGCAACATAATAAAGATACTCTACAGTAAGGACAGAGCCCTATGAAAGAAAATGCTAGCAACATAATAAAGATAAAGTACTCTACAGTAAGGAAAGCCCCATGAAAGTTAATACTAGCAATAAAACAAATATACAGTACACTACAGTAAAGAAAGAGCCCCATGAAAGTTATAAAACTAGCAATAAAACAAAGATACAGTACACTACAGTAAGGAAAGAGCCCCATGAAAGTTATAAAACTAGCAATAAAACAAAGATACAGTACACTACAGTAAGGACAGAGCCCCATGAAAGTTATAAAACTAGCAATAAAACAAAGATACAGTACACTACAGTAAGGACAGAGCCCCATGAAAGTTATAAAACTAGCAATAAAACAAAGATACAGTACTGTACAGTAAGACTTACTATATTCCAGCAGTTCTTGCTCCATCATACCCATGGGTAAAGTGTTGAGATTATATTTATCCCTCATCTCGTCGCCGGGCCGGTTTCTCGTCCAGAACTTTCTGTTTGTGGCGAAGAGAAAACCCAACATTTAACCAGACACATTAACTTATATTTAAAATATCACAGTAGTGGGAAATATCTGGCACAACTGTGGTAAATGAGCTGTTGGTTTTTTCATAGCAACATCTCTCTCTCTCTCGCAAACACATACACAGACGGAAGAGAGAGGGGAGGGAAGGAGGGAAATAGAGAGAGACAGGGAGGGAGGGGGAGGGAGGGAGAGTGAGAGACAGAGAGAGACAGAGAGAGACAGAGAGAGAGAGAGAGAGAGAGAGAGAGAGAGAGAGAGAGAGAGAGAGAGAGAGAGAGAGAGAGGGAGGGAATGTTCGCTAGCCACAAAAAAGCTAATCAAATATTCCAAATGAGATATTTAACTAACTTAACATGAGCCTTTCATGGTTAGTGGTTCCGTGGCAAAGTGGTCCAGCCATTTGTCTCGTGCTCTAAAGGTCGTGGGCTCGGTTCAGGGCGGTACCCTTCAGTTCACGAGTGCAATCTTTACAGAGATCAACGAAGCTATGGAGGTTGGGCTCTGTGCGATGCTCTCGGCAGGCATCTAGCTGTTTCAATGTTATTTTAGTTTTCACATAAACCAGTTTCCTGTGTAGGTTGGGGTTTTTTTTTTTTTTTTGGGGGGGGGGGGGGGGGGGGGGGTGGGAGGTTTCTTCTTCTTCGTTTTCACTGGCTCTAAAACTCCAATGGAAAGTGTGCACATCCATTTTCACAGATCTGGTCTATCTGTATGCGGACTGTTGGTTCCTCATCTCTCAGGCAGATGCATTTAGACTTCAAAGGAAGCCCCCAATTAGTCAACGTTTATGACATGCTACGTGTTTTCTCCCCAAGGGGGTCCCGGAACCCACATAAGGAATATTTTGGTTCTAATGTTGCGTACCTAAAAAATAAAATCATGCAAACTTACGTAGCGTGATCATTTGATCCTGAAGCCAGGATATGACCCAACGGATGCCAAGCGACGCTCCACACCATACCCTCATGAGCTTCCTCCATGGCACCAACCTCATGATCACATCCCACCATCCAGAACATCAAAGCGCCATCTGCGCTACCACTGGAGAACAAGCCTTCGTGGATTGGATGCCAACCAATCGCTGCAGGAGACATTGATACGAACATGATAGCCTCACAAAAGTATTAGTTCATGAATTCTAAACAAGGATATAGATAATCCTCCATGAGCCGTAACAATGTTAGATGAATAACTGGATGAGTGAGACAAAACAGTCTTGTCCCTCTTCTTCTTCACATTTAACGGCTGCAAACTCCTGTGGAAAGTTCTGGTTGTTTGTCCACCTCTGGACTCGAGACTTGTTCCCGAACCTGAGTGTTGTGTGCAAATCTGTTAAACAGATCTGACTTAATTGTATGCAGATTTGTGGTTATCTGCCTCTCAGGCAGATGCACTTTGACTTCAAAGGAAGCTCCCAATTAGTCGACTCTTACGACATGCTTGTTGGGGAGGGCAGTGGGTCTATTTTTGTTTTTCCCATAATGGAGCCCCGAAACCCACAGTGAGAAGACATACAGTAACTTTCTTGAAAGACTTTCTACCTAATGGTGACTCAGCCACAGGAGCAAACAGAGAGCACATGAATAATGAATGGTACAGACATGCACAAAATCATATTTTCAAAATGAAACTTTTTAAAAGTTTCTTTCCATCCATCTAATGCCACACACACACACAAATTCAGTTTTCATATCCAAATATTTTTTCTGCCCATGTGTTCTACTTGGGAGCTGCCATGGTGTAGCAACTATATGCTGGCCTGCAAATCAGAAGGTTGTGGGTTCAAATCCAAACGATGCTGTACTTTTTTTATTTTTAACCCATCCCCCCCCCCCCCTCCCCCCACCCACCCAATGACGTTTCCCAGGTCAACCCAACCTTAAAGTGGTCAACGGTAAAGTCCTGGAAAGTAAAGGTGACCGGTGTGATGCTGACCACATCACCCAGCAACTGCCGATTGGTCTATAAAATATAGGTCTAGTACTATGTGTTTAATATGGCTTAAGGCGTGGAAGAGCATCCTTTGCCTTACGTTCTATTTGGTCGAGAAGAAGAAGTAGTAGAAGAATGAGGAGGAGAAGAAGAAGTAGTAGAAGAATGAGGAGGAGAAGAAGAAGTAGTAGAAGAATGAGGAGGAGAAGAAGAAGTAGTAGAAGAATGAGGAGGAGAAGAAGAAGTAGTAGAAGAATGAGGAGGAGAAGAAGAAGTAGTAGAAGAATGAGGAGGAGAAGAAGAAGTAGTAGAAGAATGAGGAGGAGAAGAAGAAGTAGTAGAAGAATGAGGAGGAGAAGAAGAAGTAGTAGAAGAATGAGGAGGAGAAGAAGAAGTAGTAGAAGAATGAGGAGGAGAAGAAGAAGTAGTAGAAGAATGAGGAGGAGAAGAAGAAGAAGGTGTGGCGAAGTTGTCAAGCTGCTGACCTCACACTCCGAAGGTCATGGGTTTGATTCATAGTAGCAAAATTCACTGCAGGTTTTACGGAGATCCCTGGAACCATGGAGTTGGTGATTTATGTGGCGTCCTCAAGGCAGCTAGCCATTCCGCAGACAGAGAACAAACTGCATGGGATTACTCAATACAATGAAGTAGATCCTTTTTACCTTGAAGTTTCTAACCACCCTTTATTCTTGTAGTTGTGTGAATGACCTTACCTGTAGCTTCCCGCTTGTGCCCCTTGAACGTCTGCACTTCCTCCTTGAGGTTCCTGATATCAAACAACTTGAGCAAGTGATCCCTGGAGGCCGTCAGCATCCAGTTTCCATTTTGGTTCCATTTGAGATCCATCACAGTGTGCTTGTGAGCGTGTCTGGTTGGAGGTCATAAATATAACCAAATATCAGTAAATAGCAAATATCAACAAATCTCAAACACTCCAGCCATTACACATAAATGTCTACATACATTTTTATTTTCCATTTGTGAATGCATGTTTTTGTTAGCCAGTGAATACCCTGACATATAAAAGTCGTTTCATTGTGGGATGCAATTTTTCATTATTTGAAGCCCCACCCTGGCTTTTGCCGGGGGCCCTGAATATAGCTGGGCCACAAATGTGGCCATAACGGCTGAAAGGGGTTTCTGGGACCTCTCCAGGGTGATCCTCAACTTTGTGTCACTGGGTGTTTATCGCTTGTGTGATGTACTGGTGGGGTACAACAAGCATGCAATCAAGTGAATACAATATATTTACAACTGGTGAGGTTTTTAATCCCATAGAACTGCCAGAGCAACTAACAAGGATTGCTTGAAGGAAGCTAATGAAAGCAGATCAATATAGAGACAGCTATAAGGAAAAGACAAGCACTGTTCTTTGGTCATGCAATAAGGGGGGGAAGGCTTTGGAGAATATTGTAATGACTGAAAAAATCAATGGTAGAAGAGGGAAAGGCAGACCGAGAGACCTTATGACGGATGGACTGCGACGGTGGCACGGAGGGATATCATCGGTTGATCCAAAGGACAACAAAGATCTGTGGAGATGCATGACCACCTATGCTGGTCTGCCGGGCATGTGATGAGGATGAGGTTTCTAAGATACGTATGCCCCACTATGCCTTAATACTCTAGCTATGATTCATGGTGCAGACCATTAGTTTTCAACCGGGGAGGACAGGGCCAAACTGAGTGGATCTGTTCTCGAAACATGACAGTGCTTCCAGACTGATGCCGAGAATGATCTCCATTGTGCCTTGTCCTACATCAGACTTGCTGGTGATTGTTTTGGTTCACGTACTTTACACTTTGATTTATGTGAAAGTTTCTCTTCAAATTCATATTAATAGTGCTTGGGATTTTATCTTTTTGTCTTCCTCTCTTAAATTGTTTTTTTAAATGCCTTCGTAGGTGTTCCTTCCATATATTTAAGGGGGAGCTACCTGAAAATCTTGGTGTAGACAGTAACAATTTTTAATACATCATAAAAACAACTCTGAGCATGGCATTGACTCAGTGGGCCAGTATTCCTTTCCTAATGGACTGTACAAGGGACAGCCATGCAGGATATGGATACAGTGGAGAACTACTCAGATAAAGCCTGTACATAAGTTTGTTAGGCAGTGAGGTCATTTCCTGATTCATTTATACGAACAACAGGTTATTTGTCCAGGATATTTTGTGTCCAGGGTAATGAGCACGCTGATAGACTAGCTGGTGCTGTGCCCCTGAGTGGTGAGCTACATTTACGATTAGGCACATGTGGTCAAGGCTCTCTGGGATCACATAGACAGTGGAACAGAACAGAAAATCCATACACTGAGAGATTAATTATACCAGGGTGGTGCAGAGGTTCTGGAAGACATTCAACACCAAGGGGAAAAACGCAGGCAGACTTTTAATCAGGTGGCAACCACTATAATTAGCATGCCGGCTCTTCTTTGGCTACTGAGGAAGGAGACGTAGCACACGTGGGAATGTCCTAAGTGCGGTGATGACAATTCATGATTTATTCATCCATTCATCAATTCATTCATTCAAGAACAAGAGGTTACATTCCCCTTGGTCCTGTTAGTGGACTGTACTGTCTATCTGTCAGCGTCTGTGGCTTAGGATTTGAGAACGCGCTTTGTAATGCCGGGGTGCCAGTTTCAACAGTGATACAGAGAGCTGTCCGTTCAGTAAGCAATGGCAAACTACCGATCATAAAATTTGCCTTAAAAAACCCACAACCGCTAATAAGTACTGGAGTTGATTCTGCAATGTCGTGTAAAGGATACGCAACAGACTGTCTATCTGTCTGTTCCCCACTCCTATATGATGATACGACCATTTCCAAGATTTCAAGAGCTGAATCCTGGACGGCAATCCAACAGGCCAGAATCCAGATAACCCATTAAACATTCAAGGAATCTATAATTAGGGTCCCTGTGATGGCTACATCAACTAAAAATAACATGTGGAGGTTTTCCTTTAAGCTAAACAAATTTCTAAAATCTAAGCTGATGTCACATTTTTCCCGTAAGCCTCAGTGATAGAAGTTATGCAATGATTCACCCAATGTTTTATACCCTAGTTAATGTATTCCAATTAATGCTTAATGTTTATTTACTACTCACTTCACACACATTTATACATAAAATCAATTTAAACATTCAGATAGGCTTTTACTTCATTAGTGACCTGTGTAAAAAAAAAAAATTGTTTGTAAGGATCTATTTTTCTTTTTTCAATTCCAAAAGGGTCGTGACCCCCCTTTTTTTTTTTTAAAGTTCTTCCAGGTGAAGAGGGCAAAAAGTGAATGCAAAAAAAGTTGACCCCCTCAGGCTGACCCTGCGCTAGCCACATGCATACATCTTAGTGATAACCAAGCCAAAATCCCATCTTACAGCGTAGCTAAGCTGTGTCCAGTTCTGGGATCCCACAACTTGACCGGCTGCTGGTTATCCTTGCTGCCCGAAGCGATCAGTGCCTTATGGGGGTGCCAGTCGACACATCGGACATCTGCTCCGTGACCTGGTGAAGCAGATAGTCAAGATAACAGTGAGCTAATTACACAAAACCACGCAGTTTAATTGTTGGTAGGCACTTTTTAATTTTGATTTTTAATTCACCCCAAACAAAGGAAATCCCGGAGTTCCCAGGAAAGTCCAATATTCTAGGGGTGTTGGTTTTAGTCTTTCGGCGAGGGGGTGTCTTTTCTTGTTTCCCCCACATAGGACCCTGAAACCCATCTTTTTGTGGGTTACTTTTCATCACAGAGAAATCATAAATCTCTAATAACCATCTTGTTACTTCAGTCTCGGAGAAATCCCTAATGCCAATCACTTAGTCAGCTGACCAGTTGCTCTCCTACCTAGAGATAGGAAAAGATATAAAACCAACAAATAGTAGAACTAGTCAGCTTCACATTATCTAAAGCTACAAGTCAACATTGCGGCCAGAAAGCCTTCATCAGAACATAACATAAACAGACAATGTTACATTTACCAACAGGACTAGGCAAACCACTTATAAATTCACGTCTGTCTGGCCAGTCAAAGCTCTGAGGCACATGCGAATGTCGGAAATGAACACCAGCCAGACAAAGATGTTTAAGGCAAGGGTCATAACTCAAAAATATTAGATAGATTAAACCTGTCTTGTATGTAAAATCCCTTAGGTGAGTTCAACACTGTCCTCCCTAGAAAAATTGCTGGTGTCCATTTCACAAGGTGGTGTTGAATAAGATAATGTGATCAGACACAATGCTACCTTGACCCCTGACCTTCGGATAATTATACTCTGACACTTTAGTTGTTTGAACAAAATGCTGCCAGAAACATGGGGTGACTTTAATGTCCATTAGATAAATATTTCCCATAAAAGTATTTAACAATGAACACAAAAATAAAGTTTAAAACACTACAAATGCACTTGAGGCATGGGCCAATAGATGGTGTGTCAGCATCAACACAGACAAATGTAGCACCACACTATTCACCCTCTCCCCAAAGCAAAAAGCCGGCACCATCAAAATAAACGAAATACCCCTGAGAGATGATAAAGAGCCCACATACCTAGGAGTCACATTTGATGACAGGTTGACATGGAGAAAACATATCAACAAGGCAGCAACCAAAGCCAGGAGAAAGACAGCAATACTAAGAAAACTAAGTGGAACCACATGGGGAGCCGATGGGAAAATACTCAATAAAGTATACAAGCAGAGCATACTTCCACACTTGGAATATGGGTCAACTGCATGGTGTTCAGCATCTAGTACCACATTAAAGGAGTTAGACAAAGTGCAAAATCAAGCGCTCAGAGTCATCACAGGAGGGATGAAATCAACCCCCATATTAGAAATGGAGAAAGCTGGGAAAACACAGGCACTGAGAGAACGCAGAGATACAAAGTTGCAAATACAAGCTGAAGGTGCAGGGGAAGGTGCGAAAAAAGAGCAGCCAGATGTACCAGTCACATACCACCAAAAGAAAAGAATCATTAAATCGATCAGGAAACCACCAGCCCCAGCACAAGATGACTATTTTATTATGGACAGACCAGAACAAGTCATTATCTTCCGCCTCAGAACAGGGCACAACCGATTACGTAACCACATGTACACAAAATTCAAGATAGGTGTATCAGCCATGTGCACCTGTGGAAATGTGCCCCAGACCGCAGAGCATGTACTCCAGATCTGCACCGAATTTGACACATTAAGGCAAACCTTTTGGCCAGAAAGAACAACAGTGGAACGTAAACTCTATGGACCACTGAATGAACTAACAACGACAGTGAAATTTATACAAGAGACAAAACTGCTGATATAGATAACTTATTTCAGGCGAACGAAAGAAGAAGAAGAAGAAGTTTAAAAGATGTTTAAAGGCAAGACAGTCAAACATTCCGTCTTGGGTGTTATCCCATATGCCGTTGTCTTTGCAATAAGATCTACTATCAGCCTCTCCAAAAATAATGCTAGGGGACTGTGTGGTCCTAAAGCATGGTGTTCACCTCGAGTGCTAGAGGTTCCAGGTTCAATCCTCTGTAAGGGCTGGGATTTTTTCACCTGGACTTGGACAAATAGTGATTCCCTCTGGTCTTTGGGTAGTGAGTTTGGACGCTCGTGTGCAGTGTTGCACACGTAAAAAAATCCACTGGCAGTTGGAAATCGAAAAGAGAGCACAGGCAAAATTTAGAGTTAAAAAATCTACTAAAAGTATTTCAGGATCTGAGCCGGTGCTACACAGCATGATCATTGTGCTGAGCTTCTTCGGACTCAGACTTGAGTTAGAAGAAGAATGGAACACTTATGGGTTAAACCAGTGTGCCATGATGTTGATCCGTTGTTCAAAACCTCAAAAAATGTTGCTGCAGGGCTCTGAAGAGGCAAAGAACAGATTTACTGAATGTGCAATTATTGATCCATTGTAACTGCTGCTTCCATCGACAATGAAACACATTTCTAGTGCTGGACTGTTTGTGATGGCACTTATGATGGCTGCATGAGGCATTTAATGAGTGTCTGCTATTGGAAATACTGAGAATGCAATCTATGTCAATTTTTACAAGAGACAATGGTGAACCTTCTGTGTGGTTTCTGTTGGCACAGGGACAGAGCAACTATCGGGTGACCCGTTTGTTATAAAAGTGGGAACTGCAATTACTTGCAAACTGAAGCAAATTATGGGTGCAAAGATGTTAATTCTGTTGTACCATTGTAGCAAGAATTACTTTGGAGCTCTCGGAAAGAGCTAAACAAATTCCAGTGAATCAAGAGGTGAAGAAAAGACACTGGCGATGGATATGACATATGCTGAGAAAAATCTTGAACAATTTAAACAGAATGTATTTACATTGGTTTGGTTTATACAAAGAATCAACATCACGGCACAAGGGTAGTAACCCATAAGTGCTCCGTTCTACTTATAACTCAAGCCTGTCTGAAGAATCTCAGCGCAGTGCACAAACTCTGTAGCACTAGCGAGGATCCTGAAATACTTTAGGTAGATCTTTTACTCCAAATTTTGCCGGGGCAGCACCGTTAGGCTACTATTTTTGATTCCCGACTGCCTAGGGATTTTTTACATGTACAACAATACACACGGGCGTCTAATCTTACTATCCATAGACCAGGGGAAATCACCAGAAGTCCATGTGAAAAAATCCCAGCCTTCACCGGGGCCTCAATTCCAGCATTCAAGGCGATGTCGTGCCTCGAGACCATTCAGCCCCCTTGTCTTTACACTGGCAACCACAACAGGATATAATTAAAGGCAAGCACACAAACAATAGAGAGTGAAGTTTTTTTTAAAAATGGGAAGGACATGTGGTGAGCTGCCTGTGATTGCAAAGGAAAGGATGACTTGGCCTGAGTTGGCCGAGGGCCTACACTCAATTGGGGTTAGGGTAGAAGAAAAAGAAGAGCAAAAACTGTATCATAAACCATGTTAGTTAATTAGTTAGTCAACAGATTATCTTCATTACACATTGAACCATTTAGTCGTGAACTGTTTTGGGAGGTCATTGATGAAAAGGATAAACAGGGTAGGAGATATAACACATCCCTGGGAGACACCTTCTTGTAACCCACCTGATGGTCTGATCTGAGCATACGAAACCGAACGCAAAGAAGAAGAACCATTTAGTCCATAAGTGCTCAAACCCCCTCCTTAGTAACTCCCACAGCGTGTAGCAGCTCACGACACCATAAACCAAGTCTACATATTAAATCTGTGACCAACGCGAAGGGGTTACCTCGAGAAATGCTTCGACCCCCAAAGAGCCTCAAATTAGTGGAAGGACGCCTCAAGAGCTACAGGTGCCCTTTAATGGAAACGCAGGCCGTGCCAGCTTTATAATCACTGAATCAAACCTGAGCCATTCCCATAAAATAGCTCCCCCACATTAAATCGGATGGTTAAGTGTGGTAAGATAGAAAAACCACATCAAGCGTCATGGTGGCTTGGAAAAGACACTGATGGAAGGTGCAATTTGTGGAAGGCAAGGCAGTTGTCGACCACCGCGAAGATGGATACAAGACATTGAAGATGCATTGGCATTGAAAGCACATGGGGCTGGAGAGCTGGCTAGAGAAAGGGATACTTTCAGGCGTGCCGTGAAGAGAGCCACGCTCTGTAAAGGACTTGCTGATTGATGATGATGATGAAGATAAACAAATTAACATGGACTGGCTGGGACTCGAAGATAGAAGCAGAGATAGGAGGACACACTAGACAACAACAAAACTGAAAGATATAGCTCATATCCTTACTCTTTCTATGAGTGCCAATCAATACATGATAATTTGTTTTTCATATTGTTTCTATGGCCTAAGGGTTCCCAAGCTATTTAACCCAACTGCCTCGAGAAGTTCTGAACTAGACTTTTTCATCATTGCCAAATCCCTGCAAAGGGCCAGAAACCTGCATAACTTGAGGACATGTAAATGAATATATTGACTAAAAATAGCATTTGTGGGATTTTCCCTATGAACTAAATGGCTTCTTTTTTTTTTAAGCCAAGCTGAAGTCAAACTTTTCTGTAAGCCTCAGTAACTGAGGTAACGGGGGTCTCATCATGAGTAACCCGATACATATCGTGGTGTTTTTTGTTGTTATTGCTGTCGAATGTTTTCAATTTAGTTCTTCCCTTTGTGTTTACTAATTAATCCCTTTATATACAATATCTATATATAATTTTCAATGTATGAAATTAATTCTTAACAAATTTAAAAATGACCCATGTGAAACAAATTAAGAACTTTCTTCAGGAAATCCTCCGTGTTTATGGCCCATTTTTATTAGCTTTTCCAAGGTAAAAGGGTAACATGTTGTAAAGCTGTTGAACTGCAAGACACAAATGCAACAAGACAAAGAAGACTTGTTTGGTCAAGCATCACCTTTTGCTGGACACAGGTATCTCTACCAGTGTTATATCTCCTCCCACAGACATTCTCCTTCTGTGTTTGTCTCACACGAGGACTCCCATAGATCCTACAGGAGGAATATCTGAGCATTGTACGAGAACTCCCATAGATCCTACAGGAGGAATATCTGAGCATTGTACGAGAACTCCCATAGATCCTACAGGAGGAATATCTGAGCATTGTACGAGAACTCCCATAGATCCTACAGGAGGAATATCTGAGCATTGTACGAGAACTCCCATTGATCCTACAGGAGGAATATCTGAGCATTGTACGAGAACTCCCATAGATCCTACAGGAGGAATATCTGAGCATTGTACGAGAACTCCCATAGATCCTACAGGAGGAATATCTGAGCATTGTACGAGAACTCCCATAGATCCTACAGGAGGAATATCTGAGCATTGTACGAGAACTCCCATAGATCCTACAGGAGGAATATCTGAGCATTGTACGAGAACTCCCATAGATCCTACAGGAGGAATATCTGAGCATTGTACGAGAACTCCCATAGATCCTACAGGAGGAATATCTTAGCATTGTACGAGAACTCCCATTGATCCTACAGGAGGAATATCTGAGCATTGTACGAGAACTCCCATAGATCCTACAGGAGGAATATCTGAGCATTGTACGAGAACTCCCATAGATCCTACAGGAGGAATATCTGAGCATTGTACGAGAGAACTCCCATAGATCCTACAGGAGGAATATATAAGCATTGTACGAACTCTTTAGCACAAAGTAGAACTCAAATTATATCAACTTTATTTGGTGGCCAGGTTTTCATATTGTGATATGTTGCCTGGGTAGTGGCTGTGCGCTCTTCTCTCTCTTTTTAAAAAAAAATTTTTTTTTATTTGTTTAAATTATCTTTTAATGTTCAATATTAGGGACTATTTAATGGCTGCAATATGAATGTGCTCTCTGAATTTTCTGTCCTTGACAAAACGGACTAGACGTCCATAATGTCAGGATGGGGTTCCTCACATCCACTTCACAGACTGATAATAGGCAGTAGTCTCCCATGTTCTGATCCACTTCACAAGTCCATGTTTTGTTCTGCTTTGGGTTCCACAAAGATAAGAAAATATTTCAAGAAAAGAGAGAAATGGGTTCTACAAATGTCAGAAATAATTTCAAGAAAAAAGACAAAATAGGCACCACAAAGGTCAGAACATATTTCAAGAAATATTTTCCACAACAAACCACAGCATATTGTTTATCTGGCAATTTGTGACTTCACTAAAAGCTGCAGAGATATGGTTTTATAGCTGAATGATAAGAAAAGCCTGGACATATAAAAAGAGTAATCAAGACCTCTTGAAAGAAATGACTGAGGCAGAGAACTAATTGCCCAGACCAGATAGACACAATTTACATTCTTTGGTCATATGATGAGAAGGAGAAAACTGGAGTACATTGTGACGGTAGGAAACGGTCAGCATACAATACCAATTTTGAAAAAGCTCAAGGAAGTCTGCTTCCAAACTGTTCACAACTGGGACTGAACCTGGCACTATGGAATTATGAACTGTGTTCACAATGCCTAAACCACAGACAAAGTATCTAGGAACAAGAAATGCAACTGACTACACAAGTGGAAACAGGTAAATAGACAAAATGAATCTACTTTTGCTTTAACTGTCCTCTCATGTGGGTAACAGTGCTCCATTTTGGAGAACACAAGAACATACTCATTGCACCCCTATCAAGCATGTCATACAAGGCGAATAATTACAGGCATTTCCTTCAAAGTCGAAGTGCATACGCCTGGGAGGCAGGAAAGCCACAGTCTGTCTGCATACAAAGATCTGTAAAAACAGGTGTGCATGTAAAGCATGGATGAAGACCAAAGTCCAGAAGTGGACAAACAACCAGAATTTTCCACCAAAGTTTACAGCTAGTGCATAAGAAGGAGGAGAAGCCTTAACTGTCCTCCAGCTGGGAAACAATGTTTCTCTATCGCTCCATGTTGCACCCAATAAAAGTTCTTTTCTATCTGTATAGCTCCGAACGAAGATGCCCTACCATAAAATCTCTCTGCCGTCATAAATCCACTTTCATCTTTTGCTTTCTCATCAGATGTTTTCATGTCTAGCACCTGCGTTGGTAGTTGTTCCAGCCGCATTCTAATGAGATGACCAAACCATTTGAAAAACATCTTTTCCGTGTGATTAACATGAGCCAATGAACATCAAAGTCAGACTTGAGACGCAGCGGACTTAAAGCATTTACTCACGTGAGGATAAAGTGAATAGACCATACCTCTCAATATCTTTTCTTCGTGGCATCTCATAAAATCCCACAACCGAACAGTCCCGTCGTCCGAGCAAGATGCAAATTTTGTGTCAGATGGACAAAAACTGGTCAGGAAGAAAGCAACAAACACCATTTATTGGTTTCTGAAAATATAATTTATTTGTAAAGCAAAATGCACATGTAAAGTGTGCATCAGATTAAAAAATATCACAAAAAATATATATATGTAAACAAAATTTTTACATGAAATGTTACAACACAATAAACAAAGTACATTCATGTTATGCCAGCACAAATTACCCTATCAACTAAGTAGAGCAGTATCAAAAATACTTGAATATTTAATGAACTGATTGCAACAACACAAACCATTTCCTCATTAAGATTTAAACACATACTTTCTGCTAAATTGAATCAGCTCTTTGCCAAATAAGGTAGTGTTGGCGGGCATATTTTGAATTACCATTATCACATTTTTCTGTTTTAAAAGTTCAACTAAAAACATTAGCTAGTTTATTTACTGGCCATTTTCTGTGATTTTTGTTCTGTTTTCCTGTGACTTGCAATGCAATTCAGATTTTTAACTACTTATTCCATTGTGTCTTAGCATATTAGATGGTGCTCACACAGTGATGCCTACACAAAATTACCACGCATATAGTTGCATTGTTTTATATTGCACTGGTGGTAGATGATGTGATGCCTATTAGTCTTGTCTCACATGTGGCAAACAAGATCTCCAATGAAGGACTGTGAAGGAAAGAAAATGTTCATCACTGGTAAATATTATCAAAGGAAGAAGATGGAAATGACATAGACATGTTGGCAGGGACAGCAGATAGAAAAGAGAGGCAGACCTAAGGAAACCTCGAGGACAGAAAAAAAGAAAATTAAAGAATGTAAACTGACACTGGATACCATAGGCTTGGAAAAGTTGTAGACCAGCAGCAATGGAGATCACCTGTGAATGTCTTATGTGTCAACGGTGACATAAAGACGATATCGACAGATAACATGCAACTGCTGTATGTATTCAGTTGTGGTGGAAATATTAACCAGGTAAATCTATTACAATCTGTTGAAGCTGGTAATGCTACAGGTAGTCCTAACTGTACAGCACAGACTTGATAAGAACTCCCTGAGTACCTAAGAGATGTTTCTTCTCATTAGAAGTTCATCTAATCCAAACAGGAGTTCAAGAAAGAAAAACTGCAGGAAGAAAGAAAATTGTTCTTCACAACAGAAATTTGCCCAAAGAAGTCTGAAATCTGCTGGCATTTCAAGAAGAAAACATGAGGTAGTGAAAGGGGAAAGTTAACATATTATCCTGTGATGGCCACAGAAGCCCCACTACAGTCAACTTTAGCCGCTGAGAGCGCCGCGCAAAGAATGTAATAAGCAGCAGTCAGCAATCAAGCAAGAGTCCCAGGTTCAAATCCTCGGTAAGCAGAAAGAAATTGTTTGTTTTTCTGTTGGGGCAAAAAACCCGTCCTAACCTGCAATTTATGACCCCTTCACGGGCCCTACAGCCCTAAATTCTGAAGCCCCCCCCCCCCCTTCCACAACATCGGCAACAGAGACAGTTTTCTTTAAACAATAACAAGTTCTGAGTGGTTACGTCTTCCATCACAGAAAGGCCAAGAAACAATTTCTGCAAGCAGACACCCCACAAGGAGCCATATCAACTGCACTACTTCCTGTGTGGGATAGACATGACTATCAACACCACATTATCTGTGGTTATTTTCTTTAAAGTCAGGGTGCATTTGCCTGAGAGACAAGAAAGTATCCAACTAAGCCAGATCCATAAAATGGATGTGCAGGCAAAACTCAAATTTTTGAACAAAATCAGAGGTCCGAAGTGTACGAACAGCTCGGACTTTCGGCCAGAGTTTACAGTCAAGAAGAATAATATACTACAAGCCAGAACTCTGCTATAAAACAACTTCTTATGGATATGAACTTGTGTTAAAGATGAGAAGGGTTAATTTCACTGCAGCAGGTTTAATCCCATCCACATCAGTCTCTTTTACAGTGAGTGCCACATAAATCACGAACTATGAAGCTCCGATGATGACACACACAGATTTCAGACTAGTGAACTGTCGTGGCTGTTCAGAAATGAGGCGCAGAGATTCTGGCCACAGGCATGGGGGGGGGGGGGGAGAGAAGGTTGTACTCTGAACACCTCACCTCAATGTTAGTGGCTCCCAGAGATGCAGTGTCCAGAAATTCTCTGGTACTCATCAGCCCACCCTCCACCAATGCATGGGTGATATGTCCATCAAAAACTTCTACTGACTCAAATGCCAAACAATGTAACAGCCGAGACAGACCAAAGTTCAGAAATAAGATTTTCACGTCCCACTGGCAGACAAGGTTCAAATTACCACTATCGTGTGTTTTCTTATACTGTCTTGCTATGTGTCTTGATGGAGCCATGCCAAACATGCTGAGGAAGATTTTGCCCGCCTGGGTGGTCACCGACGTCATGGATCTGTGGACTGTTTCCTGCAGATCTCTATAGGGCACAGACCATGGTGAGTGAAAAGCTCCACATACGGATGTGAGGTTATGCAGTTATGTGCAGGACATGAGCCTAGGACCAGTCATGTGTGGGCTCTGCATTTATGGAAGCCTCCTTGAATGGAGAAGACTGCTTTGGTTCTGCTTCTGCCTGCCCTTGTGGGTCAACAAGTTTGTGCATGGCTACGCTGGACGGGTTCTCAAGGGGGCAACACCTGTAGATAAAGGGACACAGAAGACACCACCGAATTAAGGCTGCCCCACATAACCAACCGGGATGGCTAACGTGGTGAAAAAAATTAAAACAATGGAGTCAAGATGTGTCTGCCAAAAATGTGCAGATATCACAGCTAGAGTAATAATATTGTAAGGAGGTGACAAGGGAAGATCAGCAAAAGAATTGGCTACCCCATACAGTAAAAAAAACCTAGATGTAAAACCCAATTAATTATGAACAAGTCCACAACGAGTTTGTGTTCTGCCCTTCTGGATTCTTCCTGCATGGATTCTGGTATCCCATTTTTAGGGGAGAAAGAAAACAGATCCAGTGCCTCTCTAAAAGAAAGCATGCCGCAAAGGGTTGCTAATTGGGGGGTTGCTTAAATGTGGTGTATGTGTTAGGCTTCAAGACACATGTCACATTCTAACCAGTCTTCTAGGAGCAAATATAGTAGAAAAAGATACTTGATTTACAACATCCAACTTTCACACGCTCCCCTGAGAGATGGAAGGCAGAAAAAGAAAATTGAATGCTGCAAATAAACAACAGACAGATCTTGCACAATGCACAACTCAGCAAGCCAGTTTCAGATTCTGTGTCAACTCAGCCATCATTATTGTTTTTTCAGTAGAGCAATTAAAATTTTTTTTTAAATTAAGGATCCATAAGAACATGGTACGACAAACATAACTGAACTAGACACACAAGGACAAGAAATATAATTTTGTAGCTCTGAAAAACTTGATCTTAAAATGTCAAGGCAATCATGACAAGTGTTTTCTACCACAAACTAATGAAACCACTTTAAACACTGACTGACCTGGCAGTAAATCTGGATAGTACAAGCTAATAATGTTGCATTTACGATGGAAACAATGTTTCAACTTGACTAAGATAGATATCTATTTGGAGTATTAGTATATTCCCCAGGGGGTGATTCCTAGTAATAAATAATGTTCGTGGTTAAACTGCAGGTATACACACTATGACGTTCCGACGACCAAAATGTATTTCGACTTGAACTACAACAACAATGTAAACTGACTATGTTGTTACGACAACCGAAATATATGTCGACCTGAATTACAGTAACAATGTATACTGACTATGGTGTTACGACAACCAAAATATATGTCGACCTGAATTACAGTAACAATGTATACTGACTATGGTGTTCAGACAACCTAAATGTATTTCGACCCGAATTACAGTAATCAAGTATATCAACTGTGGTCTTCTGATAACAGAAATGTACACTGGCTAGTATTATATTACAATAACCATGTATACTGACTGTGGTCCACTAATAACAGAAAACTCAAGATATCTCAAGTGTCTAAAACCACCAAATAACCACAGCTCTGGGAACCAAGACATCTCACTGAGCCCTCCCTACGCTTGGGACAACAGCTCCCTCAACTCACTCACAACCTTAAACACACAGACGAAAACACGGACACTGCCTCTGCCTTTATGGCTTTGACAGCATGGATTTATTGTACAACTACTGCATGAACACATGGATACGATCGATCTTCATGTCCAGTATTACATCGAGGCTCCGGCCTCTATTTTGAACTGAGACACCCAAACATGAGGCTTAAAGATACCTATGCGTGTTCATACATTAAAACAGGACAATAGAGGGTGTGTGGACCACACATCCCCTTGCCATGTTTGTACAGTTTTACTTCTGTCACTACTGACAGAATACCTCTGCAGCATGCTACAGTACCTCAATAATGCTTAGGAGATACATGTAACCTTTCACCTTCTGCTCAGGTCAGGCTAAACTGTTTCCATCATTTCTTGCAATTTGAAAGTATTTTTGATCATTATTTAGTCTTTTGCCTTTACTCTAAACTGATAAGGTCATTGATGGTCTTTCTCAGTCTTTCGTCCTAAGCATTTGACGTCTCATTTAGTCTTTCTTCTTCAATGGTGGGGATAAAGTTATCCTGTGTTCTTACTTTTAATGTTTTATTTAAGGAAGAGTACGTTTTATTTGGGCATAAAATATCAGGGTGTCCTATAAGTTTTCACACAAAGGAAAAATACCCCTGTTCTGAAAACCCATTTCACTGCATGTCCTCAATTGCTAAAGAACAGGTATAAGTACAGCTGGAGTTATGCTTTTAATGGCACTAGTGAAATGTTTATTTTTCTCAGGTATAGAAACTAACAGGACACCCGGTAGCTTTCAGTAGCCCTGTAAAAGAAGCAAACCCTGGACTGCCAGTGTGATATGCGCACACTCCATTATCAGTTCAGTTAATAGAATGAAAGAAGAGTAAGTTTGTGACAAAGCAAAAAGAAAATGTTCAGCTAAAACTTTGTGTCACACAAAAAACTCTTTCCTGAGAAAATACTCTAATGTTTAAAATTTTTGTTTTTCCATTCGTCCGAGAATGTTATTGCATTGTGCCTGTGTACTGCAATACCTGCAATATTTGCCCCTTTCAGTGCTAACATGAGAAGACCCACCCATAGCAGCTGTGTGCATGCTGGTGACCATTCAAGGAACAATAGGGGCACACCATGCCAATTCACACCATTCAATAAGACTCCCGCAATACAGAGGAGCCAATACATGCCGATCATGTACGTTGCTCATCCTAATAATCATCATCTTCTGCTGATTACTATTTATCTTCACTTTCATCATCAGGTCCTTTATAGAATACCACTCTCTTCAAGACATGCCTGAAAGTCTCTCCTTCTCTAGCCCTGTGTGCTTTCAGAGCCAGTGCATCTTCAGTGTCTTGTATCCACCTTCGCTGTGGTCAGCCTCTAGTCTCGTTCTCTAGAACCTGCCCTCTTCTCTACAGGCAAAGCTGTATTGAGATATTTTTGTTTCATCTTTGGAGTGATGTGGCGGGGATTTTGTAGAAGAACTGAAAGACATGTGCTGCCATTCACCAGAAGACACTGCCTTACAGCAGTCTCATATACTACAAGTTTACTATCATCATCACAACTAAACAAGACAAGATCTAGCCGTGTAACCTCCCTGGGGCTTGGATAAGATTCAGCCAAGCCCAGTGTAGGCTTTCTCTTCCCACCTGATGCCTCGAACTGGTTCCTTGTGAGCCTGGAACATCTTGACGTTGTTCATATTGGACTGCCAGTACTTGATGTAGCCGGCGTGGTCGGCCGTCACCATCCACGTGTCAGAGTGACTCCACCTCATTGCCCTGACTGCTGTCTCGTGAGCCTGTAAACAAACAAGTAGTTGACTTCATGTTCAGCCAAAAGGTATATGATGTTCACTTCGTTTTAAGGTAAATACTTATAAATACATGCGACTAGATATCAATTCACCCATTCTATATACACTCAATATATAACAAGGGAACCAGTTTTATTATATATTAAAAAATTATGAAAAGAAAAATCGTATTCAGGGAACTGGAAGATCCGACAAAAATTGTGAGTAGGGTGTTATTAGGAGTGTTTCTGGTTCCTACAAATTGAATTAATGTGTTTCATCCTTCCATGATGTAACAGAAGGCAAAACCTATGTTGCTGGTGGATTTAATTGTTAAATTTATGTGACATTTTCTGTGGATATGATGCAGAATACAACAGACAGGGTAAGAACACTTTATTTCTTTATCAATTATATTTTAAGTGACTTTGAAAGTTTAAAAGTCATTTTCCTAACAATTCTGTTTTTCTGTTTGTTGTGTGTGGGATCTCCTAAAATCTCAGCTAATTTAAAGACTGGAGACGTGAAATTTGGTGTGGCTACTCCTAACACAATATTATAGGGTCATAGCTATTTAAAAGTATAGTTTATTAAGTATTTTGTTTTTAAATTTGATTATTATCTCAGAAAGCTACATTTTTTTGTATTTTTTCAACATACCTAAATTTTAATATTCTTAAAAAAAATATTAAGAAACATTTTTGAAGTAAATAAACTAGTCAAGACCCTAAACGTAGGTTTAAAGTTCAAGAATCAATCATCTGTTTCTCAATACCTTTGTTTGTTTTTGGAATTTTAGCTGTCTAAGTACATGTCGTTTTTTTTTTATCAAGATGGCGGCTGTTGCCATGGCAACCATGTTTTTTTTAACTTGAAGTCTACAAATGTATCAACATACATCCCTACAAATGACCATTTTAAATTATTGGTCTAACATTGTAAATAAAAAAAAAAAAATTGTCCTGTAGTGACCCCTTAAGTAAATGAATGAAATGACCAATAAATGCTCATTCCAAAGTTTATGTTGGCATGTGGCAAAAGATAAGCTGATCTGGTGACATTGAACACATAATTAACATGTGATAAAAACAAAGCCTCACTGCTAATTTCGGCACAAATGACAATAAATTGTCCGCATATCAACATGCCAGGTGTAAGAATCTTCTTCTTCTTGGCGTTCACCAGCTGTAGACTCTGACAAAAAGTTCTGATTGTTCATCCACCCCAGGACTTTGCCTTGTTCCAGAACCTGAGTGCTGTATGCACATCAGTTTTACATATCTGACTAATCTCTATACAGACTGTTGGTTTCTTGCCTCTCAAGCAGATGCACTCTGACTTCGAGGAAGCCCCCAGTTAGTTGACTCTTACAACATGCTTACTGGGGAGGCAGTGGGTCTAATTCTTGTTTTCCTCACAATGGGGTCCCGGAGCCCAGACAGGGAGGTGTTAAGTATTATTTGTAAACTATGGAACAAGTTCTATTACTGCTCGCATTTTAGAAAGGTAAGAGAACTGTGTCAACACAGTCCATCAGAAATTTCCATATTTCCCCAAGTATTATTTTCCAAATCTTGGTTCTAAAATCCGTGTGAGTCTTATACAATGCTAGTAACCTTTGACCCCAGAAATTTTTTATTGGTTAAAAAATATCCTGTATAGTGAGTGCTTCATTTGAGAATGCTCGTTTAGAAGCAAACACAAAATAGGGGAGGGGGGGGGGGGGGGTACAATTATGTTACAGCAGGCAAGGGTTGTCACTGTCCCAGCAACCTTTATGTTACAGCAGGCAAGGGTTGTCACTGTCCCAGCAACCTTTATGTTACAGCAGGCAAGGGTTGTCACTGTCCCAGCAACCGTTATGTTACAGCAGGCAAGGGTTGTCACTGTCCCAGCAACCGTTATGTTACAACAGGCAAGGGTTGTCACTGTCCCAGCAACCGTTATGTTACAGCAGGCAAGGGTTGTCACTGTCCCAGCAACCGTTATGTTACAGCAGGCAAGGGTTGTCACTGTCCCAGCAACCGTTATGTTACAGCAGGCAAGGGTTGTCACTGTCCCAGCAACCGTTATGTTACAGCAGGCAAGCGTTGTCACTGTCCCAGCAACCTTTATGTTACAGCAGGCAAGCGTTGTCACTGTCCCAGCAACCACTATGTTACAGCAGGAAGGGGTTGTCACTGTCCTAGCAAACATTATGTTACAGCAGGCAAGGGTTGTCACTGTCCTAGCAAACATTATGTTACAGTAGGCAAGGGTTGTCACTGTCCCAACAACCATTATGTTACAGCAGGAAGGGGTTGTCAGTGTCTCAGCAGACAGGGGTTGTCAGTGTCTCAATAGACAGGGGCTACCACTGTATCAGCAACCATATCACAGCCAAGAAGGGTTGTCACAGTCTCAGCAACTATTATGCCATGGCTGGGATGGGCTACCACGGTCTCAGCAACTATTATGCCATGGCTGGGATGCGCTACCATTGTGTCAGCAACCATACCACGGCCAAGAAGGGTTGCCACAGTCTCAGCAACTATTATGCCATGACTGGGATGTGCTACCACTGTATAAGCAAACACTTGGCCGAGGCAGACACAAGTTGCCATGGTGTCAGCAACAATGCCATCACAGCAAAGGTTGCTACAACTTCTAAACAAACATATATTCATAAACCATAAGCTGTTTGGTGAATCAAGAAAAGTACAGGCATCTGGCTGTAATAATTCAATTCTGATGTGTCCACTTCCAGACCTCTGCTCTGTCTCTCCCTTGGTAGACCTAGGAAAGACAGCTTAAGTCATAATACATACTAATACATACACATCATCATCACAAAAGCACTTCGGGATTGCTGCACTTTAGGACTAAGCAGCTTTTGGAATATCAAATGTGCAATGACAGACTGTGATAACGTATTATCATCACTCATATTTATAATCTAGTGGCAAGGTGTGGATGTAAAGGCTGCAATAGTCACTTACACATTATTATTTTACTATTTATCATTACTGTTTGATATTTACAACAAATATGCCATTCAGTTTACATAACAAAAAGGACGCTTACTGCATGCAGAAACTGCAGCATGTTAAAGCTACCAGTCATTATTACTACGATGCTAGCTGTGCACACATACTCTCAACAGTGAAGCGATGAGGAAAATATCATGTAACACCTTCTCCAGTGTAATCGTTACCTGCTAAAGCTTACACATGTGAATGACTATGCCTCGCCATTGGTAATACCACACACACTGTACTACACACACTGTACCTGCAGAATTGTCTCAAAGTTGAAGGTCAATCCATTCCAAAGAGTAAATTCACCACTGGATGCTCCGGTCACTAATCTTCTGCCTTCAGGTGTCCACTGAAAATGAAAACATTTATGTCCCCTTGAGCGATAAATACAAAGCTGAAAAGGAACAAACAAAAACCGTTTCAAAGGGTCAAGTTAAGAATTATGCATGCTGGCCATCTTTCATTTTGCCCTTCAAACGTTCTGGGATTTGAAACTTGGACCTCTTGCACCCAAAGTGAGAAACATGCCCCCAGACCAACAGACATGATGATGAGATAAGTTTACAAGCTTAAGTGTTTCTGTCTAAGGCATTAATACTTCAAAGTAGAGCAGCATTCTCACGCCACTGGTACAAGGATGTTAGACTTGTAATTTTACACACCAACTGGTCCTTGACGGGTGATGATTCTCTAATTACTCTTCTTCTTCTTCCTGTGATCACTCTCCCATTTACACAGACCAAGTTCTTGTGATAAAACTGACTGTTGTTGTTTTTTTTTTTTAAGCTGACTCAGTGGGCCAGTCTTCCCTTGTTAATGGGTTGTACAAGAAACAGACTTGGTGAACTATGAAGGTTGTGGATATGCTAATTATAAGTCATATTTAGGACAGAAGCCTCAAAAGTAACCAAAAAGGCCTGGAGGACCACCATGAGAAATCTAAAACGAGGGCTGAAGAGAGAAGCCCAAGGTACTGGGCTGGACTTCCTCCATGATATCAAAAGGAGAGAACTGGCTCATAAACAATATACTGTCCCGAAAGCTGAGGTATTCTGGCCATGTTGAACATCAGGGTGGCCTGGAGAGAACAGCCATGGAGGGTAGTTTCCAGTAATGAGGCAGAGGCATACCTTGATGAATGTGGATACAGGACAATCAAGATGCACTGATTATATAAGTACATATTTTTAAAAGTTAGTTGCATATCCTTTACAGGACGATGCAGAACCAACGCCAGCATCTTTTGGCTGTTATGGTTTTTCTAGGCAAATTTAACATTCAGTAGTTTGCCATTGCTTTCTGAATGGTCAGCTCTCAGTCCCACCAACCAGTTTGAATTAATCAAGATGTTCTGCTGCCAAACTGCATGCAGCTGGGATCGAACCCAGCATTACGAAGCGCATTTCCAACCCCTAAGCCACAGACTCTGACATAAAAGTACATAGGGCTAGAGAACTGGTTAGAAAAAGAGAGACTGTCAGGAATGCTGTGACACAGTGACATTGTGTAAAAGACCGCCGATGGATGATGATGATGGCCAAAAAAGGACTTCACAAGATAGAACAGTTCTGAGAACTAACTGTGAACCCAATGTGACATACTAATGGTACAACGAGAAAGCAACACTAAAGTTGAGTGACTTCAGCAACAACTGCCTCGAGACTATGGGGCTGGTGAATAAAGTGGGTGTATCAGTTTGTGAATTCCCAACAGGGTCATGGAGCTGGTGAACTGTGTTGGTAATCTCAATGTGAGATCTATCCGGAGATGTGTTTGTGCGCAAATTAAATTGATAAATTACCAAAATCATCCCTGAGACTAGTTTGAGATAGGTGGTTTATTTATATATTTATTCATTTGTCAACAGAATACTGTTTGTCTGCACTGTGATGTCACATGCTTAACACCCTTGCAATCTTTAACAACAGTATAGACAGGTTATAAGACAACAACATGGTTGTTGTAGTTTCTAGCACACTTTTAAGGTTTTTATTTAAGTCCTTCTGTTTAATGCTTTAGCTAAATATGGCATTTAGAGTTCGTGTGGTTGCTAATTTTGACAAAACATTGCTTACCGTCACACAAAAAATGGGACACCTATACTTGTTTGTCGATGTTCTGACAAACCTTGTTGTCACTGCATTCATTGGAGTCTCCAGCATGGCTTGCGAGGGCAACAACTGAAACAAAATACAGAATTAACACACAAAATCGAGGCTTATGTCGAACACTCACACAAAAATCATCAGAAAAACAATAGTGCACATTTCATTTTTTTGGTGAAAGGGAAGGGGGAGAGGGGGTGTCACAAATACAATCTTTCATCCAAAACATGAATAAATACTGTATAGAGTAGGGAAGTAATCAACTAAAACAAATGCATGATAGAATCAACTGGATTACACCTATTTTTAGTGTGACACTTGACCCTGTGACCCGATCGCCCAGTAACCACTGTGGCCAATGATAAAAATATGACAGGAATTTCTATAAACAACGCCCTTTTTTTTTTAAATGTAGTAATTCCCTTGCCACCTGAGGTGTAAAGGTTAAATATATCTATAAACCTGGTCATGTCAAAATAAACACATTGTTTACTTCACAGCTGTAATGGTTATTTTAAGAATTTACCGGAAGTTTTTTGAAGCAAGGGTCAGGGGTTATTTCCATGATGTTCAAAATTATGTTAATGCAACAAATCATTGTCTTTATAGTTTGCCCTGCACCTTTTGGCCACAAAATCCATTTGAGCAAAGGTCACCCTTTCAGTCACCCTTGACAACATGCCTGTTAAGGATGGCGCCCCAAATTCCATATCTGGAGTTTACATATAGTAATGAGATATTTAAAACATAACTGTAGGTCAAATGAAATACTCTATTTTAGCAGAAAGTTACCACCCAAATTGAATAACTGAAAATTCTCTTAAGTGTTTGGGGGAGAGGTGGGGGGGGGGGGGGGGGAAGACAAATTTAATGTTATATAATGTGTGCTGTCTCCACAATTTAATATTGGCTACAGCACTGTTTTCCAATGTGGGGCACATGCCACGCAAGGGTGGAGGGGGGGGGGGGGGGGGATTTGAATATACTTGTCCAGAGTTTAAGTCACATGGGGGCATAAGAATTTTTAGAAAGGCTTAGGTGGCGTATAACACACACAGAAAAGTTGGAAAACACTGGACAACAAACAGCCTACCACTGCTGTCTTTTGGAAATATGCGGTGAGCCCCAATCTGACAACCCTGTTGAAAAGCCATGGTTTGGGTTTTCAACAACAACAAAATACCCGCTACAGATAGAAGACTCTAGACTTGAGGGCTGTGATAGTGTTATACACATTCACTCATCTCTATGAAATCAAACATTAAAAATATGGTTAAACCGAAGAAACTATAAATGAGTAAAGAACAGCTTACATTCGTTGCTGATAAGTGTATGTACTTACATCAACAGCATACAGAGCATCCGGCTGGATCTGATGCCGGTCTCTTCTATCCCTCTGCCATACTCGATTCTGTAATGTGGTGAGGAAGAATTAAGTTATCTCTGAGAAACAACTACAAACAGACTCAACATCTCTTTCAGGCACTCATTCTCAGAGTAAAGGTAAAGTCGGGAGATGTGAACCAGCATCATTGCACACGGTTATAAACCATAAGTGCTCTGCCACCAGTACGGACAGCTGATAAGAAACTGTCCCCATGTGTCGCCATCCGCACGAAACTCCGTAGTTACAGCGACATTCCTTCACTTACCCCAGAGTGTTAACTCTGGTACCCATTACCTAGAGGCTGGGTGAACCCCTAAGAGTGCTGAGTGTGTTGAACTAAGAACGACATCACAGCACTTGGGATATTCTTATAAACAATGTCCTCGATTTCAGCAGTCAGTATAGAATGCATTTCCGGTGGTGCCAGTAGCTGTTTGATTATATGTCCGTCTAAACTTTTCTCTGAGTGTAGTATCGACCAGATCCCCTTGTCCCTGATAGCTGTACCATTATCCCCAGACCATGAGTTATTCGTGCCTTATTGCTCCTATCTGTCATGGATAAATTCACCACCCACTGGTGCAGAATCAGCCAATCTGTCTACCTATTCATTTCCCAACACTCCTGCATCTCCCAGAGTAAATGTCTAAAAAGAATATTCTTAGAATGAATTCCTAGCACGGTATCCCATCATCAGATTAAGATGTCCTGTTTTACGTGCAGAAATGTTCAGACATCTGTACATTTCACCAATAAATAAATTCAGCTCCTACATTTTTACAGTATCCACTAATGTATTCACCTCACAACTGTGCTGCATCACATGTGGTGCTACACCAAAACTAAGGTTCATGATGTTCAAGACCTTTCAGCACCTCTACGAGCTTATCCTAGACACATGTTCCCAAACAGGGGCCTGTCAATGTTGATAGCCAGTTATGAGAAGCACACCAGGTGTATACGAAGTCTTGTAAACCAGTCTAGGGCTGGTAATATTAACAGCGGGATGCTGAGGGATAATTTAAAGAGTGAAATCTGAGCGCCTATGGACATTTCCAGAGTACTGTGAGGATAATTCAGGCCAAAGTCTTCACATCTTGTGCTGAATCATGACCTTATTAAATCCTTATTCTTCAGCATCCACTTTTAACAAAGCAGTTATAATACTCTGTTGTGGTCTACAGCTAGACTGCAACAGCTGCACACTTTGGCCACCGCAAGTGATTTCAGAAAGTTACCATCATCATCTGCCCTGTCAACTGGCGTAGGTAATTGAGCATCTCCAGTTGCCTGGAACAGCTCTCTTGATTAAATCCCTCAATGCCATCCTTTCAGCCCATCCTGCATCATCTCTCTTAGTCTGCCTCTACCCCCTTTTCTACTGATCTTTCCAGTTGTCACAATGTTTTCCAATGCCTCTCTTCTGATTACATATACATAGCCAAAGAACAGTCTGTCTCCTTCTACTCTCATTACCTTCTTTCAAACAATCGTTGTTTGTAAATAAAAAGCGTAAATCTATATTACAAGTGGAGGTTTTTCCTTAAATGATATAAACCCTTAAATTTTCATGTGCGGATTTCAGGGCCCCAATATTGGGTAAACGAACAGATTCACTGCCCCCCCCCCCCCCCCCCCCACACAAGCATAATCTTTTGCCTCATGTACTTTGAATCAATTCTGACATTATAGGATCGCCCATGCCACGATGTCAAACTGTCTAGCATCTTCTCTCTCAGCCTCCCCCCCCCCCCCAATCATTTAAATAATGTTTTTTTGGCAAAAATAACATTTATAAGCAATGTAATGGGAAAAAAAAACATAGTCAAGTGTTTCAAACAAAACAACAGACAGTTCAAGCATTTTAATTTACCTGTATGTAATTCAGAACCGTTGGGTTGTAGTCCACTGTTTTTCTGTGTATGGCTTTTCTCATGCGCTTGCCGTCGTACTGTAGCGATAATGTTGGGTCATCTTGGCTTCCTTTATTTGGAGGGAATCTGGGACGGAACTGGTAACCGGGGCGCTGGAATGACTGTGTGTTAGGTGGTGCTGGTCTTCCATTGTCAGTTTGAGGCGTGGAAGTCTGGGCTACAGGCGGTGTGGGTTTGTTTGGCATAGGTAAACTTGAGCTATCTAACCCAACTGAGTTGCCAGAGTGTAGGTTTTGTTGGCTCAGACTTTGTGCTGGCATTGCCACTGTTGAGGCTGCCATTTTGTGGCTTCGTCGTAAGGCCAAAAACTCATGCACACAATGAAAAACAACTGAAGTCTATTTTTGTGACCTGCGGAAAATATAATGAATTAAGATTTTTAAATGGATCAGATGTCATGTTCTGGATCAGATGTCATGTTCCCAAAAAAAAAAAAATTTTAATTTTGAATCAGTAAGAATGGAGACCCCAAACATTTTGGAAATATTCATATACTATGTGGGAAATTTGAAAATTAAATTCTGGTCAGCCAATAAGATTGTTGCTCACTTTTCTACAACTGTTCTTTGGCAGAACAATTTCCACCTAAAGTTTCCTGACAAGTTTTATTTTTAACTAAGAATATACAACACTGTGGAAATACTATTATTTTCTTCTTCTTCTTCTTCGCGTTCACCAGCTGTACACTCTGGCGGAAAGTTCTGGTTGCTCGTCCACTACTGAACTGCACTCCTGCTCCAGAACCTGAGTGGTGCGTGTGCAACAGTTTTACAGATCTTATTCTCTTGAATACAGACTGTTGGTTCCTTGCCTCTCCGGCAGATACACACAGACTTCAAAGGAAGCTCCCCAATTAGTCCACTCTTACGACATGCTTTTGGGGAGGCAGTGGGTCTATTCTTGTTTTCCCCAAAATGGGACCCCGGAACCCACACGGGGGAGACTATTATTTTATATTTATACAACAAAGAATTTTGGAAAATGACATCAGCTTTCACATATAGATTGAAGACTTCAAAATAAATCATCAATTGTCGGAGAAGAGTTCTGCAAATATTTTGGCCAAAAAAAGATAACTAACAAAGAACTGAGGAGGAAAACCAAATGTTTATACCTCGCAAACTTTATCAATGGGAGAAATTAGAGATGGCTTGGGTATGTTTGTAGATTGCATCATGATATTTTGATAAGGATTGCAGATGGGGAAAAAAGGTGTGGTCACCCTAAGGAGACCTGGGAAAGGGAAATGAAGAAATGTAAATAGATGAGCAGCGGCAAAAAAGCAGCAGTCATGCAACAAAGGAATTACTTCTGATTGCCCTATATGTCAACACAAAGAGGATATAGATATATTATTTATTCTCTGTTATTATTTTGTGGTGTTCACGTTTAAGTTTTGTTTCTGGAATAAGGTCTTATATTTGTATTTATTTATATACCGCCTCTCTTGGCAGTGGTTAAACATCTCAAGCTAGCATGGTTTGGGCACATGGTGAGACATGATTTGATTGCAAAGAATACTTCAAGGAACACTTGGGGGGGGGGGGGGGGGTTGAAGAAGAAGAGGGCAATGTAAAACTGGAATGACAACATCAAGAAATGGACAGGACTAAGTTATCATAAACTTATTCTTCTATTCATCCAGCGGAAGACAGAGAAAGGTAGCGTGTTGTACGTGCTAGTGCTTCCATCAATACACCTCCACGACCCTGATGGGTCAAGGGTTATGTTTTGAGTGTTAATTATATTTATATCTAGGACTTCAATCTGAACGAGTTTTGTAATCTGTTGAGTTCAATCTCAGCTGCGGACAGCATGTCTTGTGTTGGTTTCAGCAGTGGCCCAAACTACTCAGTAGTCTACTACTACTAAACATAAATTTTTCTAACAAAAACCACAACAGCCAAAAAAAAGCTGGGTTTGGTTCTGCAACCTCCTGTAAAGGATACGCAACTAACTTTACTTTATTAAATTAATTATAACTTAAGCTGGTAAATTTTAGCCATTTCTCCTGGTATGGTAGAATAAGTCAGTCAATTTTCACTATTATAACTTAGTAAAGAAGAGAATTTGGAACACACACATAAAATAATATATGAGAAGACACTGAACATGCTTATAATATATAAATATATATATATATAATATGTGTGTGTGTGTGTTCTTAAATTTTTTAAACTACAGCTTAAGTGTAAGTCGGTAATCATTATGACAAACTTTTAAACGACTTGAACTTCTCTTCTGCCGTTAAGTTAAGTGGTAAGTAGGAGTAGTATTCTACTCTTTTCTACCAAAGTACTTACTTTCTTCTGTGACGGGTAATAACTAAACTGTTCTCTACTTCTACCTACATCTTATTATGACCAATCAATCCATCGTGTAAAAAATTACAAAGCTGCTACAAATTACGCTGCTTCAACAAACAATCGATTAAACTCAAACTGTGTGACTATGGTATCTAATCTAGTTATCGGCGTCTAACGGAGCTTTTTTCCCTGTCAACTGTCATACATATTAACATTAAAAATATTAAAATTGAAAGGTAACAAACAAACAACTGACTCAAATGACTGAACTCTGGTAACTTCGCTACGTCTAACTATCTACTTCTACACTTTTTTTAATGAAATTTACTGAAAGATCATAGCTGCAATTAAAAAGGAGTCCCACTAGTTTAAACCAAAAGTATAACTAAAATCTAACCTGCTCGCGTCTTGAACACAACATGTCTCGTAAATCCGTCATAATTAGGAGGTACGTGAGAAAACTACCAGACGACCATGACAGCAATGATCGGTTCAAAATGGCGTCTTGCAGGGAAACAGCCAGGTTTTTTTCAACTATGATGTCGAATGTTGAATAAGGGAATTGACATCCCTGGACTCGGGACATCCCTTTCATCGCTCTGTCCCCGTCTTCAGCAGCAAGAGAAGAGTTACAATTCCGATGGAACCAGTAACATCCTGATTTTATGTCCGACTCACCCCTCCCCTGAGCGCCTGCTAGATTTCGTGGTCTCCTCCTTCTTCTTCGAGCCTTCTGTCAGAAAACATATCAGGAGGCTTGTATGTGTAGCCTTTATGAAAGCTATCGTGCAGTCCATATCTCCTAGTGTACCATGCAGTTATGTCTTCATTGGTTGGAACAGGCGACATTGTGTCTCTGTTGGCAGCATATAGTTGACAGTGTTGGAGCATACGCTCAGCATTTTCTGGTGCCACGCTCCGTGTTTCTACACTGAAAAGTTTAAACATAAGTAAGTTGACGAAGTCTGTTGTGCCCTGTCCTTAGTCTTAATACATTACCCGTCTCTAAAAAGGCGACGAAGCGAGTCTTGGGGAGAGAATTTGGTGTGTGTATCCTGTCACCTTTCTTCGGCCATGTTATGAGAAGAGGGAAAATAGAACATGATGTGACCACTGGAAAGATCTGTGGAAGGAAGGATAGAGGAAGACAACAAGAGAAGATGCTTTCCAGTCTTGTTGCGTGTCATGGAGGTGTGTCGACACACGAATTGATACATGCTGCAGAAGATCGCAGATTGTGGACAGGCATGATCGCCCACGCCAGCACCTGATGATTATGATGATCTGTCACCTTTCTTGGATACTATACTGTATTAATGTCTTGATGGGATAAGTCACTATTTGATTGTACTATGTCACTGCGACTTCTTTGGCCAATCTGTCTGCTATTGCATTGCCTTCCAAGCCACGGTGACCTGAAATCCGTTGTAGTACAGATTGTTCTACTGAAAAGACTAAGCGAGTCAATTGTCTACAAACTGCGTGCCTTTTGCTGTTTACAATTGTTTGTAGAACTGACATAGCATCAGTCAGAAAGACCACTCTGCTATATTTGTTTTGCTGTTGCGCATTCAGGAAAGAATATGCCATCAGAATTACATATGCCTGTGTAAGGCTATTAACTTGTCGGTATAGCTTGTTTAATTGTTAAACCGTTTGGTCATTATATAAATATTCCTCCTCCTCCATCTGTCATTGCTGTCTTGGCTGAAACATTTGTATAAATTCTAATCCAGCTCTGGTGTGGATAAAGTCTGTTGATCTCTCCTTCTGTAATAGACTTCATATCATTGCTGCCCAAAGACAATTTGGAGTAGATTCCTGACAAAGTGGTTCTGACTGTTGGCAGGTTATCTCCAGCTTTAAGCTGGAGAAGGCGGTGGTTATCCTTAAGCCAGTGTTGGGGGGGGGGGGGGGGTAGTGGTTGTAGTGTTTCAGCTGCACATTTAGCACTATGGGAGGAAGTTTGAGGTAAGATTCCATCCAGCATATCCTTCAACGTGTGGGTGACTGATAACACCAGTTCTGTATTGGTCTACCATTCTTCTTTGGAAGGATTAGCTAATGACTTGACAAGTCTTGGCAGTGTCATACTTACGTTTCCCTACCCAAACATAGCGTAATTGGGTTTTCATTCATGCTTTCTCACCTGGGACAAGGGGTAGTCTATGTTAGAGGGGTGTCACATTGTCTTGTGTTCGCGAAGAGGTTTCTATATTGTGCGTATATAGGCGGCGAGCTACGCAATGTGTTTTACTGGTTGCTGCAAGCGGGCGCAAGATTGCGTATATTACGGACTCCATGAACTGCATGCATTTAGGTCAGCGTTGAGGAGCGACGAGGAGGAGAGAGTTGCTTTCCTGGAGCAAAACGGGTTTTAAGGCGGAGCCAACAATTTTGAAACCATGGGACGTACTCTGGACTCTCTCGTGGGACCTAGGCTGAGGCTGTGGGTAGGGGGTTTGGGTTAGGGCCAGTTCTAGATGTTCTGGGGTAGTTAAAAGCTGTGTCGTCGTGTAGTGTAGAGTTCGCGACAACGGCGCTGATATAATTAGAGACAAGACAACGTGACACCCCTCTAACATAAACTATCCTGTGTCACAGGCGAGAAAGCATGAATGAAAGCCCAATTACGCTATTTTTGGGCCTGGAAACGTAAATAAGACCCTTGGCAGGTTACCATCAACACTTGAGGGGTAAAGGCGTAGTAAAGAGACATTGCTGAATGAAGTAGTTTTCGCATGTGACATCCGTGGTGGCTTTCAAATAGGCCTAGGGTGTTATCTTATGTTATCACAGTCGACGTCTTTGCACAGTGGGAATCCCCGTTTAAAGGTGTGATATCTTTTCTTGATATGTAGATTTACGGACAAAAAAAAAGTTTCTTTAAATATTCGTAAACAACCCCTGGAATTAATTTTTTTAAATGTTATATGTGCTGATACATTCGCATATTTTTATTCGTTTCTTTAAGTGAGCATTGGAACACTCCTAAAATTTATAAAACCGTCAGCACTTCCGGTTGGAATCGACCCGGAGCCCGGAACCTTCATGTTTTGTGTGATTGGTAAACAATCCCCAGTGTCCACACGTTTGTCTTGTTTCCTTCACTTTTTCACACGTCTCCATATTGTTTCTTGTACCTTATCCCGTTTCAACGTAAACACAACAAAGCCACGGACTAAACAGCGGTCGACATATCTGCTTCTGGATGGCAAACGAGCTGAAAATAGCGGTCGTCTGCTCCAGCAATCAAAACCGCAGTATGGAAGCACACAGCTTCCTGAGGTGAGAGATAATTTAGGATATTAAATATCAACAAAGACTGATGTATTGTTAATTGTCTTCCTGTCACTCAGTTGGGATGGAAAAATTGTGTTGGTGAAATTTACTATCTTTAATGTTTCATTAAAAAATAGAAAAAGATGCGGAATTAGAATATGAGGATGACAAATATGAATATGGAAAGTTTTTTTGATAATCAATCACTAAGTATATTTATGATCATGATGATATGAACTAATTTAGGCTATCCTCAGAATAACGGTCCCAAATTATCGAGGCCGAAAATATTTTATATACTCTAACAGGGCATCAGTCACGGGCTAAACTAGACGACTTACAAGCAAATTAAATGAAGGAAGCTGCAGGAGATGCGGTAGCTGCTGTTCATGAGTCCCAGCCATCTAGTTTAGCCCTAATCCACGTGGTGTGGGGAATACTCTCGGCAATTTAAGTCGCTGGAAGTCTGCAATTGACACGTGACTGAGGCACTGTTAGGGATATACTGCATACGATGGGAAGCACTTCTCCGAATAACGCTCCCATATCATCGAGGTTGTCAACATACAAGGTCCGACAATTAAGTAATGAGACTGAATTTATTATTGCCAAGAAAAAAAATACCATCTATGAAGCAAAGCATGGAATCTATGATCTGGCAACTTTTCATCGCCGCTCAATAAGCAGACAACAAACAAGCCACCATTTTGTAGACATAGTCAGAGGTGCATTGTTAGGTAATCATCACGAAGCAAAAAGCTTACATTAAATTCTTTTTAAAACTAAGAAAAAGTGCAATTGAAACAGTTGAATAATGCAACAAGTTTATGGTGATAATTGTTTATCTCGCGTAAAAATTTTCAGGTGGTATTCACGATTCAGAAGTGGTGTGGAAATTATTACTAATGCACCTAGACCTGGAATCCAAATTTCTATTCGTAATGATGAACTTATTGCAAAAGTCAGAGAACGGATACAATAAGATCGTTGTTTTACTGTGAGGATGATGGCAGATGAATCTGGTGGTAATAGAGAGACCATTCATAACATTTTAGTGCAAAATTTTGACAAGAAAACAGTTGCTTGTCGGTTTGTACCACTTTCGTTTTCCGATGACAAATCATCAGCGGGTTGAGTACCCAAGAAACATCATCAAAACAAGAATTGTTGGCCCAAAAACAAGTGTGTTCTTAGCCTTCCACCCTATTCCCCAGATTTGCCCCCCTGTGATTATTTTCTATTCCCAAAATTAAAGTTACGATTGAAATGGCGCTTCTTTAACGATATTGATGACATACAAAGGGCCGTAACATTGACTTGAAGGGCCATAACAACAGAAGAACTACAGAGGTCGTTCTATTGTTTGTTAGGTTGTGCCACTTGCTGTATCAATGCAAAAGAGGCTTACTTTGAATAAAATAAAGTTTATATCTTCAACTTTTGATTGTTTTAATTTTTATGGAAAAAGTCTCATTACTTAATTGTCGGACCTTGTACACTAACAGGACGTCATTATGATTTATTGAGATTATAGAGAAATGTAAATAATAAATTGCCGTATGTTTTTTTTTTTTTTAGCAAGAAAGGCTTCAACGTCAAGTCATTTGGAACTGGTAACATGGTGAAGTTGCCAGGCCCAGCCCCAGACAAACCCAACATTTATGATTTCAGTATTACATATGATGCTATGTACAGAGACCTTATGCAGAAAGATTATGAACTGTATCCTTGTGTAGAATGGTAATTTATTTTTAAGTGTGTTTCTGCTTCTACTGCTGCTTTTTCTTCTTCCTTTTCCTGCTCTTGGGCTTCTTCTTCCATGATGTAATCACCAGAAGTTCATTTTATGTTCTTCTCTTCCTGGAGTGAGGCGTGAATGGTTATCAGTATGCAAAGGGAAACAACAGACTCATTGACTTTTAATTAGACTGGAACTGGCACCATCAGTATCTTCTTCTTCGCGTTCACCGGCTGTAAACTCCGGCTGAAAGTTTTTTGGTATTTCTCCACCTCTAGACATCAGTTTTGTTCAAGAACCTGAGTGTTGCATGCACATCGACATATCTGTATGCAGACTGTTGGTTCTTTGCCTTTCAGGCAGATGCACTCTGACTTCAAAAAAAGCTCCCAGTTAGTCAACTCTTACGACATGCTTGTTGGGGTGGTAGCGGGTCTGTTCTTGTTTTCCCTACAAAGGGGACCTGGAACCCACACAAGGAGCACTGTCAGTATAGAAACTTTCTTCGCTTCTTCTTCAGCTGCTACTTCTTCCTTTTCTTGCTCTTCATCATCTTCTTCTTTTTTCTTCTTCAAAGATGTACTCACCAGAAGTTCATTAGTCATATCCTCCTCTTCATTAAGGGGAGCGAACAGAGGGACTGAACAGTTTTATAGTATGCAGGGAAAACGATATGCAGAATTATAGACAGGTTGCAGCTGACATCTTCAATGTAGAAACCCATCATTGGCTACTGAAAAAGGGCACAGAACATCTGTGGGAATACCCTGAATGCAGTAATGTTGGTTCCTAGATTCATTCCTCCAGAGGGTCTCCATGGCAGAGTGGTCAAGCTGTTTGCCTCGTGCTCTGTAGGTCTTGGATCTGCTACAAAGATCTCTGGGAATCATTACTAGAGCTATGGAGCTTGTGCTTTGTGCAACACTTTTGGCAGGCAGCCAATTTTTGGGCAGAGAGAGGCCCAGCTGTATAGGTTAGAACCTTGTACAGTGAACTTGATCCTCCTGTTAACTTTAACCTTAATTCACTCCTCTTCTCTTTCTCCAAAGATGTAATCGCAGTCATACATCGATCAGTCATACATCCTTCTTAAAATGGATCCGTTTTTTGGTTGTGTGTGTGTGTATAGGTTCTGGAAGTTATTTAATACTGACGGGGAAACAGAGGTGTACTTTTAATCAGGTTGCAACTGCTATTGTTAGCATGACATCTCTTTGTTGGCTGCTGAAGTAGGGGATGGAGCGCATGTGGGAATGTCCTGAGAGCAGGGATGTCAGCTCTTGACTCATTCATTCATTGTTGGTGGTAGGAAGTGTTACCTTAACAAACAACCAAGATATACACAGAATGGAATTCTTCACATGCTAGATAGGAATCGTAGAATCAAGGCCAACCCAGAGAGGTTCCAGTCGTCTAAAGAGAAGTTTGATCTGATCATCACTTGTGAAGAACGAGTATACGATCAGGTATTAGAAGGTGAGTGCTTTGTTTGGCTAGTTGTATTGAAAAGTAAAAGTAAAGATCCCTTTTTATGCCTTAGGCGCATCGGGCATGTGGGAAGAGCACCCATATATTTACAAACCAATTGGTACTAAGTGGGTAATGTGGTCAGCATTACGCTGCCATCTTTGCTGTCCCAGGACATACATCCTGGTACCCATTTAAGCCTGTTCGACCTGCGACGCCTTATACCATGATAAAAATCCACACAGCCAGTGGTCGCGGTATGTTTGAATGTCTAGTCGGACTCGCAAAGCCTAATAGCTTTTCAGTAGATAAATTAAATTTGTTGTTACATTTTTAAATTTTTTTATTTTGTTAGCCATGGTAAACAGGAAAATTTCAATATTCTCTTTGCTGACAGCGCATTCCTATTCCAAAGTCAACTTATCAGCTAAAGAACCACATAAACCGGCTACACGGCAGCAGTGTTTTTTTTTAAGGGGGTCTTTTTTTTAATATTTTTATTTCTGTGCCCCTGTGGGTTCCAGTACAAAGACATTCTATTTGTCTTATTCTAAGATTTTCTCAACGTGTGTCATATCTAATGTCAGCATCTTTTCTTCACCTCTTGATCCACTGGAAGTTATTTAGTTTCTTCCAAAGCTCAATTTTTTTTTTTTAATCGTTCACCGTCTGTGAATTCCGGCGGAAGGTTCAGGTTAATTGTCCGCTTGGACTTTTGGCTTTCACCTGGACCTGATTTTTGCGCGTACAACCGTTTTACTGTTCCCTGTCTCATGGGCAGCTGTACTCCGACTTTGAAGGAAGACATCAGACCTATTTCTAGGATGACTGTGGCCATTGTATTGTGTGGGTCAAGACGTTGCCTGATTTGTGTGGTTTCCACTTTGTCTCCTTCTCCGGTTAGCCCTCAAGGGAAGGCAGGGGCAGATCATGGGCATTCCCTGCCATCCAAGGAGGCTTCCATGTATGCAGAGCCGGCACATGGCGCTCTGGTTCTGGGCTCACCCAAGGAATCGTCACGTCCTGCACATGCCTGCTTAACCTCACAACCTTATTAGGCTTCCCGCTCGACAAGGGCTGCGCCCTCTGGAAGTCAGCAATCTCCACAGACTTTGAAAACTTTTTTTGTGTGTGTATGGAAAATATAATGTTATATAATGGCCTATTTTTGAAGTATGAAATCTGTTTATGCTTTGTTGACACTTGACAAGACTTAATGGTTGCTGGATTGTCTTTGTGAAAACTTTTTCAGATTTTGAAAATAGAGATCGGAATGACGAGCAGGCGGTTCACATAATCAACATAGATATTCAAGACAATCACGAGGAGGCAACAATCGGGGCTTTCATGATCTGTGAACTTGTTACTATGGTAATTTTCTTATACATTAGACTTTGAGGTAGACAGCTGTTGGATGCATGTTCAGTTCTGAAATGTTGTCTATGCTGTGTTCGCCCTTAAATTGGTAGTGGCATGTTGTTATGGGGTTAACAGCTAGACTGTGCCTTTCGGCCCAACACATTAAGTTTAAGCAAATCCTTATATTAAGAGGGTTTATTATTTTTATGCTCTAAATGGGGACCCAGGACCAACATGAGAATATCAATTACTGATTATTTGAATATTACGTGGTGAAGCCTAGGTCTCATCTACAGTGTGACTCTTGTACCAGTATCTGAATGCTAAATTAAAGTTAGAAGGAGACAGTTTAGCTAAGATAGTCAGTTACTGGCACACACTCCAGGATAGAAGGGGAATGGTTAAACAAGATAGTCAGTTACCGGCACACACTCCAAGATAGAAGGGGAATGGTTAAACAAGATAGTCAGTTACTGGCACACATTCCAGGATAGAAGGGGAATGGTTAAACAAGATAGTCAGTTACTGGCACACACTCCAGGATAGAAGGGGAATGGTTAAACAAGATAGTCAGTTACTGGCACACACTCCAGGATAGAAGAGGAATGGTTAAACAAGATAGTCAGTTACTGGCACACATTAGAGGATAGAAGGGGAATGGTTAAACAAGATAGTCAGTTACTGGCACACATTCCAGGATAGAAGGGGAATGGTTAAACAAGATAGTCAGTTACCGGCACCACTCCAGGATAGAAGGGGAATGGTTAAACAAGATAGTCAGTTACCACCACCACTCCAGGATAGAAGGGGAATGGTTAAACAAGATAGCCAGTTACCGGCACACACTCCAGGATAGAAGGGAAATGGTTAAACAAGATAGTCAGTTACCGGCACACACTCCAGGATAGAAGGGGAATGGTTAATACCAACAAAAAAAAAATGAAAAAAAAAAAAACAGGCAATCCAATTTCACTGTAAAAGTGATATGACTAAACCTGAGTTATTACTACATCTAAAGTTGAAAGAGAAGCGGCTAAACAAGATAATGAGTTAACATTATGATTGAAAGGGTATTGGTATTGGAAATCAGTACCTGGAGAGAATGATGCGACGAGGAGTGTCTGGGCGCCACTTGGGGGGGGGGGGGGGGGGGGGGGGGGGGGGGTTGGAACATTGGCTAGCTTGACCTCGTAACCTGAAAAACTTGTATCCAAGTACACTTGTATTCCGAGGTTTCACTGAATTTATAATGTTTCCTTTTCTTCCACAGTTGTTAGCATCAGATGACTTGGATAATGAAGTGGACGAAATACTGCAAGAGTTTGAACACAAAGTCAGCAGACCTGTCCTGCACACTGTCCAGTTTTACTAGCGATTCCCCAGTCACTGCCGACTCTCCCCAACCCTGATGGCTTTCACTGTTCTCTGCCTGGTCGTGCCAGCCCTTCTTTGCATTTCCCTGATGCTGTCAAGTGGATTTTACCACACCATTGTTTCTTGTATCTCCCCAGATTTTGTACATTTGCGTCCCATCGATGAGTCATTGTGGTGGAAAGTCATTATTCAGTAACATAATGAGCTGTTATCGTTGTTGTAGAAAGGTTTCTTGCTAGAATGATTTACACCATTCTGCAATTCATTTAAATAATTGGACTGATTTTAATATGGCTGAGACAAAACTGCCACCCATAAAACAAAACAAGTGATCCAAACAAGCAATATTCATCTACGATCTGACAAAACCGTAACACCGCCCGGTCAGAATACAAGTAACACCATTTTGTTTAGCAAGTGAGAGTTGCATGGTTGTATATGCAGCATGGAGCAAATAGCAGATGTTTAATTTTTTTTTTTTATAGTTGCTAAACATGGTCTTGAAAGAGTTGAATTGATGAAACAAGTTTATAAACATCAGTGTTCACCAAATTCATCTTCCGTCATCCTCATTCAGATATAGTTGTTTTTGTATCCATTCTCTGAATTCAGCAATGAGGGTCATCAGAAACAGAAAGTGGACTTCCCTGTCTAGCTTCACCTTTAATTGTTTCCTTGCCAGTTTTCAACTGTAAATTCTATGTTAATATTTGCCCACGATCTAACACCTTTCCATAAACTTGCAATCATCAGTTCTACTTTTCCCAAGTTTAAAACATTATTTAATGTTGAACTTTATCCCTAGTATGCATCCGCCAGTTCTGGGGACCACAGAATTGTGCTGTTGGTCTTCTGTGTCTGTAAAGTCTAATGCAGGAGTGGCAGGCTCTGCCACATAGAACACATAAAAACTTTGATACTCTATCGTTTTAAGGCTGGGTTTTCCTCTCAATCGTCTCCTCCCTGTAGTTTGCTGTGTTGGCCTCTTTCAGACTGCGATAGTATGTCTTTCAGCGATTTCTTTGCCTCCCAGACGAGTCGGTCTGCAGCTGATCTCTCTCAAGAGTCTGTGTCAGTGTTGATATCTTTTAGGTTGCTAAGTGACACTGGATAAACCAGGACTAGGCATGTTAAAGTAGAGTGCTGGCCGTTGCCGTGGCTACCTCCTCTCTGTGTCGCCGGTAATACCAGAGGGAAGGGGAAGTATCAGTGCAGCTTGGTACTGAAGTTATTGCAGGAATCGCTGGAGCTGAAGCGCTTTCTCTGAATAAGGTATTGCCACAAGGCAGTGGAGGTTTGGGATCAGTTTTCCTTCTCCTAGATGAGCTGCACTCCAGTGCCGGAGAGCCTCATCTGCACTTTGTCCATGATGCATAAGTAATAAAGCCACCCCCTGTTTGAATAAAATGGTGGGTTATTTGTCATCTGCTGACCAGGTAGCATTGCCATTTTTGGCTTCATCATGGTGCCTATATGGATGCCATGCTTTGCTTCATGGTTGGCATTTTTGTCTTGGTCATAATAAAACCAGTCTCATTATTTCATAGCTGGACTGTTTATGAGAGAGGGATTTCATGATAACAGAATATTATCAAAGCTGTTTATGAGAAATGGATTTCTTGATAACGGAATGTTATCACAGCTGTTTATGAGAAATGGATTTCATGATAACGGAATGTTATCACAGCTGTTTATGAGAAATGGATTTCTTGATAACGGAATGTTATCACAGCTGTTGAAGCAGTTTGCTTGAATGTTAGAATGCTGTATGTGTGCGCATGTGATTGTATGAGAGAAAGAAGTAGAGAGAAATGAAAACCAATCAAAAATGCAATGCAATACTATTACAGTTGTAGAAGTGTTGCTTCTTTGAAAGAATGAAGGAAAGAAAGAGAAGTGAGAGGAGAACGAGAATATGTTATAGAGGAGGGGGCATGAGAGTAAGAAGGAAGGAGATCAAAAGCAGATTACAATTCTGAAATACTGACGTCACAGTGGTTTTAAAATAGCCAGTTGATTCTTCTTCTTCGCATTCACCAGCTGTAAACTCCAGCGGAAAGTTCTGGTTGTTTGTCCACTTCTGAACTCTACTCTGGCTCCAGGACCTGAGTGTTGCATGCACATCTGATTTACAGATCTGACTCAGTATGCAGACTGTTTGTTGTTCCTTGTTTTTCAAGCAGATGCACTCCGACTTTAAAGGAAGCTGCCAGTTAGTTGATCTTCCGACATGCTGTTGGGTAGACAGTGGTCTGTTCTTCCTCAGAACCCACATTGGGAAGCTATTTTATGAATAGAATAATCCCTGAAATGCTACTGTTTTGTGGGGGTTTTGGACCCAGCCGGGTTCGCTGCTTCCTGTGGTGAAAGGGTTGATCAGTAATATATGCATTGTTACCATACCGATGTATGTGTTTTGCTTGTTTGTTAGAATGATGTACAGAAGTGAGTAATTAATCAAAATCATAATACAATGTATTCACAGCTGTAGAAAAGTAGCTTGTTTTCCAAATGTTATCTTTTTTTTTTCAAGACTTGGGGTTAAGATCTCTTAGAAGTACTGCAACACTTCTTCACTCCCCATAAGACTGTTTTTCAGACAAATTGAAACTGATTTTGATAAAATGCAGCGACTCCTTTGAAAGTTGATTACGTCTGCATGAGAGGCAAAGGACATGCAGCACACAAATAAGCCAGTAAAAGGGATGTATACACAAAACTCACGCCCTAGCATAAAGCCAAAGTTTAAATGGACAAACAACTAGGACTTTTGGCGAGAGTCACAGCCAGTGAGCACAAACATACAACCATGTAGCAACAAATGTGGATATAGAAAGCAAATTTGTTCATGTTAGCCCCTAACGGAAATATGACATGAATTTTATTTGCAAAATATTCAAAAGTAGGTTACATGCAGTATCTTTCTGCGAGAGCAGTGCCTATACTGAGCGGTTTGTCCTAGCCATTGTGCCCATAGAGACTTATTCTATCTAGCACAATTAAAGTGATAACCAGTACTGAAAAGTTCTCAGCTGCTCATTACGTTATCCATCACCTGCCTGCCATGACTTCACATAATTCTGATTGGGAAACTAATCGGGTTTGTGATTAGAAAAAGAAAATTGGAGTACATTGGGACAGTCAGAAGGTATGAGGGGAGTGGAGACAGAGAAAAGATGCTGAACAGTTTAACATCATGGCATGAAGAATCATCTATGTCAAAGGTTGTGGATAGATATGACTACCAACGCCCCACAGCAGGGACTTTAAGAAGTAGTTCCCTGAATGTTCCTGTGAACGTCTTGATTTTTTCTGTTTTCTTCTTAGTGTTTGCTGGCTGTAAACTCTGGTGGAAAGTTTGGGTTGTTTGTTCACTTCTATACTGATTAAGTCTTGTTTCAGAACTCAGGTTTTGCATACATATCTGCTTTTCTTATTTCTCCTCAGCCTTTTGACTTTTCACCACTCCGGCAAATGCACTCTGACTTCAAAGGAAACTTCCCTAATTAGTTGCCAGAGGTAGATCAACAATCCAACCTTTCCGCCGGAGTTTACAGCCCGTAATTAATCACCTTGCATGAAATGATAGTTAGCAGGGGCATTCCTTTTTCCCTCTTAGAACACACATTTGTCAGTTCACAACCACCGATTCATGATTGATCTTCTGTTGACAGAGATAGCTTCATTATGTATAGCCTCACCACCATTATCATCACCCTCTGCTGTTCACTTGTATTATACAAGAGAGCCTGAAATGAAAACCTTAAAACTGTAGAAGAAATTACAGTTATCATGCCACTGCCGTGTAACCTGTTTTAGTAGTGTTGTTAAGGATGTCAAGAATGTTAAGCATGTGACAGCATCACTATGCAGATGAATATGGTGGCATAATAAGGTGGCTTAAAGATGACTGCCCTACTTTTGACATGCAAAAAATGAGAAGCAGCTTTCAGTTTTCCTTTTTAAAAAAAATCAGTGAAGGGTTGGAACCTATAGAAATTTATTGACAAACGACGGCCCAGTATAGTGATGCGTGCCTGTCAGTCCAGCAAGTGTATGAGTGGGGTAGTGGGCCTTAAACAGCTGCAGCCAACTCTGAGGTCACTACTTGGTGAGTCTGACCCAGACTTGAATGGTCTTGTCACAGAAGTCACATTGTTTTAAACTTCCGACACCACTCATATACTTGCCATACTGACAAGCATGCATCATCATACTAGGCCTCCATTCGCTGATGAATTTCTTCAGCTTTCACTCCTTACTAATCAGAAAATGGATAACAGAATGTCATGTGCTTAACATTTTTGACATCCTTTGCAGCAATAATTACAGTTTTTAAAACAATAGCATAGTTATTACAATTTATGTCACAGGTTTTCATTTGAAGCCTCTTCATGTGAATCTACAGTATGTTATGTAACTTGTCTACACGTGTGAGTTAATGTCTCTGTGTGTTACATAACTTGTCACATGTCTTAGGTTTGTGAGGACCTAATTGACATAATTTGTAGTCTGAACAATACATCAAGATCGTGAAACCCAAGTCTTACAAACTCGAGTGGATCAATCATAGTTGCGATGGTTTGGACAGGTATGCAGAATAGGAGAAAATCACTCACCATGGGAGACTAAGAACCAGGATTCCAGGGTCCGCTGGGAAAACAAGATCCGACAGTCCCTGACAGGACTGGAATGGAACAAAGTCAGAAAGAAAACTGCAGATAGAGAAATCTGGCCATCTCTCTGACAAACATCTACAATCCAGGGTAGAAGTTAGTCTTTCCCCTTGAACCTAGGGCAATGCAGAGGTCATAGCTCTGCACATCTGGCAATTTGTTGCCACCTGTTTTAGGTCTTGGATGTTCATAGGCCCATGGGAATGTACCATCTCTGATGATGGTTCTACGCAGGCTCTATCTTGGTAGAAGAAGAGCGACTAAGTAATTATATTAGCCTGCACATTTGAGATAATGTCTTTGAATGTTACATAACTTGTCT